TTAACATTCTTAAACATAATCTTGATGACTAAAATCGTTCATCACATGAGTATACCATAATTTATTTTAGCAACTCTTGCAGCATTAAGTCCTCCCAACAAACCTCTCCCTCACTCTTTTTGTGTTATTATTGGTTTTATAAGTTCTTCACCATTAAAAATGAGACTCCAGTTAAAATTCTTGTGCAAGAATATTTGTCTTCGATTCAGGTTACTTTCTTAGGATATCGATTCCTAGAAGTAGGATTATTATATTAAAATATATAAACAGTTTAAGGCTTTTGAAACACACAGGAAACTTTTTATACTCTAGGAAGATTTTTGTTAATTTAAAGTCTCATCAAAAGTGCATTAAAGTGCATTTCTCCGCACCCTTGCTAACATTATGTAAATATATATTTTTTACTTTTATATGCAAGGTGGCACCCTATTGTTTTACTTTGTATCTCTATATGTATTAATGCAATTGATTTTTTAAAAAATGTGTTAAGATTATTTTTTCATTTGTGAATTGTCTACCCACGTCACTTGCTCATTTTTAAAATAGGAGGTTAATGTATTTAACTTTTTATCTTTTTAATAGGTAATTTACAGAGTGTTACAAAATATAACAGGTACAAAACAGTACATGATACTCTAGTCACTCATTCCAGTTTGAATCGGCAACCATCCATACCAGTTCCAGAGATAAATCATGTTTGTAACAAATAACTAATTGAAGATTTTTCCATTTGACATGTAAAGATTTGCTTCTTTATTATTACTATTATTATTATTTTATTATTATTCTTCTTCACCTGAGGAAATGTTTATTGATTTTTTTAGAGAGAGGAGAAGGGAGGGAGTGAGAGAGGGAGAAAAACATTGATGTAAGGAAGACACATCAATTGGTTGCCTCTTGTACGCATCCTGAACCCGCAGCCTAGGTTTGTGTCCCGACCAGGAATCGATCATGTGACCTTTCGGTTTATGAAATGATATTCCAACCAACTGGGCCACACCACAGAGCTGCTTTTTTCTTTTTATTGGATACTTGAGATGCTGTATTTGCATGTATCATAATTTATGTGCCTTAATGATAGAAATTAAGGTGATTTCTAATTTTCCACCATCATAAGTAATGCTGCAATAAGTAGCTTTGTACATATGAGTATGTCTGTAGGATAAACTCTTGGAAATGAAATTACTGAGCTGAGGATATGTGAAATGAAAATTTTTATAGATAGTGTAAATTTCCCTCAATCAAGGTTTTTTCCTCTTTTTGACCAACTTTTTATTATCAACTTTTTGATATTTGCTAATCAGTTAGGTGAAAAATGGTATGTCATAATTTGAAACTGCTCTTATTATTAGTGAGGTTAAACATCTTTTCATATGCTTAAAAGCCTTTTGTATTTCTTCCTTTTTTAAAGAATATATTTTATTCATTATGCTATTACAGTTGTCCCAATTTTTCATCCTTTGTCCCCCTCTACACAGTACCCCCATTCCCTCCAGCAATCCCCCTTAGTTCATGTCTATGGGTCACACATGTAAGTTCTTTGGCTTCTCCATTCCCTATACTATTCTTAACCTCCCCCTGCCTATTTTGTACCTACCAATTATGCTCTTTAAGCCCTGCACCTTTCCCCCTATTCTCCCCATTCCCCCTCCCAGCTGATAACCCTCCATGTGATCTCCATACCTATGATTCTGTTCATGTTCTGGTTGTTTGCTTAGTTTTCTTTTTTTTTAGATTCAGTTGTTGATAGTTGTTAATTTGTTGCCATTTTAATATTCATAGTTTTGATTTTTCTCTTTTTCTAAAATAAGTCCCTTTAACATTTCATGTAACAGTGGCTTGGTGATGATGAACTCCTTTAGCTTTATCTTGTCTAGGAAACACTTAATCTGCTCTTCCATTCTAAATGATAGCTTTGCTGGATAGAGTTATCTAGGTTGTTGGTCCTTGCTTTTCATTACTTTGAATAATACTTCTTTCCAGCCCCTTCTTGCCTGCAAGTTTTCCTTTGGGAAATTAGCTGATAGTGTTATGGGAACCCCTTTGTAGGTAACTATCTGCTTTTCTCTTGCTGCTTTTAAGATTCTCTCTTTATCTTTAACCTTTGGTATTTTAATTATGATATGTCTTGGTGTGGTGTTCTTTGGGTCCAACTTCTTTGGGGACTCTCTGTGCTTCCTAGACTTGTATGTCTATTTCCTTCACCAAATCAGGGAAGTTTTCTTTCATTATCTTTTCAAATAAGTTTTCAATTTCTTGCTCTTTTCCTTCTGGCATTCCTGTGATTCAGATGTTGGAATGTTTGGAGATGTCCCAGTGGCACCTTATACTATCCTTGTTTTTTGGGTTCTTTTTTCTTCTTGCTGTTCTGGTTAAATGCTTATTTCTTCCTTTTGTTCCAAATCATTGATTTGAATCATGGCTTCATTCCCTCCACTGTTGGTTTCCTATAGATTTTTCTTTATTTTACTTAGTGTAGCCTTCATTTCTTCCTGGGTCTTTTTTATTTTGTTGCTGTACTCAATGAGTTCTTTGAGCATCCTGATCACCAGTGTTTTGAACTCTGCATCAGATAGGTTGGTTATCTCCATTTCATTTAGTTTGTTTTCTGGGGTTTTGTTCTGTTCTTTCATTTGGGCCATATTTCTTTGTCTCCTCAATTTGGCAGCCTCCCTGTGTTTGTTTCTGTGTATTAGGTAGAGTTGCTTTGACTCCCTATTTTAGTAGTGTGGTCCATTGTAGAAAAAGCACCTATAAATTGTGTGGGGTGGAGTCTTAGGTAATTGCCAGGGGGCGGCACCCACTTCAGCGCTTTGTGGCTCTGTGTCAGGGGAAAGCTTGGAGAAAGGGCAATGTTGCTGCCTGCTTTCTGGAGGTTTGCCCAGTACTCGCTCAGCGTGACTGGTGCTTTTTCAGCTGTTGCCCTGGTGCTGAATCCCAGAAGGTATGGGTTTTCCTGAAAATCTGGCAATTTCTTCTGCAGTCCCAACCCCCACTGGTTTTTACAGCCAGAAGTTATGGGGATTCATCTTCCTGGTGCTGGAAGCCTGGGATGTGCAGTCTGGCCTGGGGCTGAGATCGCTCACTCTCAAGCTAACCTTCCTGATTTTTATCTACCACACATGAATGGGGGACTGCCCGTTCTGCGACCGCTGCCTCCCTGTGCCACACTATGTCTCTGCACCTCTTCACCTGTCTCAAAGTCTTTGCCCCTCCTACCTGCCTGGGTGAATGTGGCTTCTTTAAATCCTTGGTTGTCAGACTTCCTTACAGCTTGATTTTCTGATGGTTCTGGGTGTTATTTATTTTGAGGTCTAGTTGTAATTCTTTCTGTGGCTGCATAAGGAAATGAAGCATGTTCACCTATGCCTCCATCTTGACTAGGAGTCCCCTTCTTTAAATTATCCATTTATATTCTACTATTTTTTGCACTGGTTGTTAGTTTGTTGGTTTTTAAAAATTGCTTTTAGGAGTTCTTTATAAAGTAAATTGGTCCTTTTTGATATAGTTTTTTAAATGTGTTTCTAATCAGTTCATATGAATTTAATACATGTAAACTCATGGCAAGGCCCCCTCCTTTTTCTTGGCCTAGGGAGCATGTGGTGCTGGTTGGTATTCTCTTTACCAACTCATCTTCAAGGGTGGGTACTTCAGCTCCAGCTTGCTCTATTTTATCTCCTAATTTGCCTAAAGGCAAACATTACTGACCACTTCAAAAGCAATTACTTCCCCCTCCCCAAATTCACAGTCTCATGTGAAGCAAGCACAATGCTGTGTAACACACTTGAGAAACATGCATTCCCTCAGTGTGTTTTTTACTCTAGCCTTGTGAAATAATAGTATTAGTCCTATAGTTAAGTGACTCATCTCCCTCCTCAGTGGGTTTTCATTACAAAGGGCCCAGTATCTTTGCCCAAGTCACTCTGGATGAACGCGGCATGAGAATGAGGAGGGATAGGCAGATGGGAGTAGAAAAGGTAGGTGAGATAGTACTAAAGATCTTCATTTTGAGGGCTAAGATACTGGCAGACTTCCTCAGCAGAGGTAGTAATTTTCCTTCCTGATGGGTGGGGATGGTCTTTTAGGACAATACAATGTGTTTCATGTCTCATGAGCTCATAGAACAAATATTGATTGGCTTGGAGTTCTCTGAGGTTGACAGAGTCGCAATTGTTTGGAATACTGACTTCAAAGGTTATATGGCGAAAAGGCTAGGACTAATGACCAAAGAAAGGTAATAGTACCATCCCAACTGGGGTGAGAGATTCTCCTTTTAAATATATTGTCTTAGTTATCTATTGCTGTGTAGCCAGTTACACCAAAATTTAGCAGGTTAAAAATAAAGTTTTGATCTCACAGTTTTCCTGTGTCAGGAATTTGGTAGTTGCTTATTTAAGTCCTGCTTCAGCATCTCTCATGAGGTTATCATTAATATGCTGGGACTAAGGTCACATGAAGTGCTGACCATGGCTAAGGGATCTGATTCTCAGATAGCTCACTCACATGGCCATCAGCAGGAGGTCTCAGTTCCTTATCAAGTGAACCTCTCCATAGAGCCACCTGCGTGTCCTCACGATGGGGTTGGCAGCTTTCCCTGCAGTGAATGATCTAAGAGAGAGAACAAGGAGGAAGCCACACTGTTGTCTGGGACCTAGTTTTGGAAGTCACACACAGCCACTTCCACCAGATTCTAGTCATTAGAAGAAAGTCGCTAGGTTCAGCTCACACACAAGGAAAGGGGAGCTTCTTTGAAGAGAAGGATATCAAAGAATTTGTGGACTTATTTTAAAAGTATCACACTCAACATTCTTCAAAAACACTTATGATAGCATACCTTGAACTTTATTCCATTGCCTGAACTACATGTCTCCAATCCATGCCAGAAGTATTTACTGGGTGCGTTATGTGAATCACTGTATACCATTTTCACCATCTGTTACTGGAACCATTTTATTCTAAAGAATGATATCCTTCTAACAGTGGTCTTTTTTCTTTCTCAGGTACTTGTTCTATGTCTTCTTATTCTAGCAGCCATAGAGCTGGTCCTTGTACTCACAGAAGATTCTGGACAAGCCACCATCCCTGCCGTTAGATATACCAATCCAAGCCTCTACCTGTGCACATGGGTAAGGCCCACTTCTGCCTTGTTCATATAATCCCTATTCATAGTCATCTAGCTGAAATTTACTCTGTTGGAACAAAATAAAGTCCTTTTTCAAGGGACCTGTGATGAGACAAAGCTTAATTATAATAGGGTGAATCAGATTTTGGCTTTTCACCTTTTGGGCACTAGTTTATAGACCCCTCTCCTTAGGATAAGTACTAGCTTTAATGACTAAGATATGTACTTTTTGCTCTCATATCTTGCCATCTAAGGATCATATGTGAAATTCAGGTTTATTGATAAAAAGAATTTTCTTAAATGTTATAAATATTACTTTTAAATTGATTGTAGACTGTAATCAATGGATCACTCTGTCTAGGGTTATTGTGCAAACTTGATGACAGAAGCTAATGTATCTTCTGCAAGCGTGTTTTAGGGAGGCTGCCTACCTGGTGTTTTAAAAGCAATTGAACTAAATGCCATTATTTTAAAAGAGGAAGAAGACTCATACTTATTTGTATTTCCAGTTTTTCCTGAAAAATCAGAATGTCTGGCAACTATGGGCCTACATTCCCACAGGGCAATTGTTAACTAGGATTGAGTAGCAGTTGCCCCTATTAGACCAGGCATGTACTCAGTACAGTCTCCCAGACTTCACTCAGCAACATGGTCTGCCTGGCCGCTGCAGGCATATTGTTTGTTAACACTGTTTAAAATAAACAAAGAAGGGTTTAGGCGGTGGTATGGTGCATCTAGCAACATCATGCCAGGACTTGAAACCCATTACAGTGGAAGTATTTATACCACTGAAATTAGCAATTGCTACAAATCATGGCTTCCCCCTTTTCCCCAGAATAGTGGTTTACTGAGTTTAGGAAACCAACATTTAATTAATCATATCTAAGTGAGATGTTATAAGGGAAGTTTTTATTAATTGCTTAGTCTGAGATATTTTTAGAAAATCATGATACAGACACCTTGCACCTATTCAACAGAATCTGCCTCCACCACCTGACTACTGTAGTGCCTGAAGTTAATTTCCTTGGGTCTCGAAAAGATTTTTCTGGTTTCCAAAGTAAAGCCATTAAAATGCAGATGGTGACCCTCTGCCTTCTTTGTTACCTCCTTGCCCAAATGTGGTGGCTAGAGATGGGGTGGGAAGGGGGATCCCAGGGAGAGCGTGGAGGACCTGAAAAGAGAAAGTTGGATGGTATCAGGAAGGAAATCTACAATTTGGCATCTGTGTGCTTTCTGCCTGGCCAGATTAAAGGCAACAATCTCCTCTTGTAGCCCTCCGTTCTTCTCTTTTCTGACATCTTTTTTGCCTCTTGTTCTTGGCTAGTGCCAGTATTTTTCACAACTTGATGTGAATTTCTCTCTAGCTCCTGGTTCTGCTGATCCAACATAGCAGGCAATGGTGTGTGCAGAAGGACTCTTGGTTCCTGTCCTTATTCTGGATCCTCTCAATACTCTGTGGCACTTTCCAATTTCAAACTCTGGTCCGGATGCTCTTAAAGGTAAGGAGGAACGAGAGGATGAGATGAGGGGAACCTGCTAGGCAGCTTCTCAGTTGGAGCCAATGACATAAAGTAAGTTGAGCTCTGGGATAGAATTATATTTAGAGGATTTGATATAGGCTTTCATCACAAATATTGACATATGTGGGCTGTTTAGACTTAATTTAGAAAAAAGACCATTTTCCTTTTGTTTTGTTTTTTGTTTTCCCATAGGGCAGCACTTCCAGTCTAGCCTACTCATGCCTGTTCTTCATCTTCTATGCACTCCAGATCCTGATCCTGATCCTTTCTGCATTTTCAAGAAGAGATGGCTCATCAGATGTGAGACTCAAAATAGACCCACCTCATAGATTATTTAATTGGATGGCACCTTGACAAGTGTAAGGTGTCAAAGTCTCATTGTCTAGTTCTCATATGGGTCCCCTGAGATGTCTAGGTCTCATGGAGGTCCCTCGGGCCCAGAATATAGTCATACAGCCCATTTTGTGACATAAGGAAACAGGAGGTGATGAGAGTATGGAAATACTGACTTTGACATTGACCCACCAATTTTAACACAAACAGTTATTTATACCTCTATGCCAGAAGGTCTGATTATCATTCAACTGGTGACCCTAGCGTCACCATTTAATAATACAAATAAATACATATTGACCAACCTGCTTTAATACCATATACAGTTGCTGGCACAACATTATGTCAGTTTCTGATTTTAAAGTCCCATGTAGTTCCTGTTTCCAATTGATTTATTTTCTGATTTGTGTGTGTGTGTGTGTGTGTGTGTGTTTTGCAGAATCCATCACTCACGGCTTCGTTTCTGAGTAATATCACCTTTAGTTGGTATGACAGGTAGGAAATGCCTGGAAATTAGGTTGTCTCCTTTCCCACTCCCTCATTCTTCTGAAAGTAATGGAAATCTTAATTTTTCAAAATGTCTCCTGTGGCCTCCATTTCTCCTTTACTTATAGATCAAATTAGTACAGTCTCTTCACTGGGCAGACTGGGCCACTGAGAAGATGGAGGGAGATTTGCTCTTGGTAGCCTGGGGGTCCCTGGAGGAAAGGAAGGGCGATAAGAAAAGGTGGCAGTAGAGCAGGAACAGGGCGCTATAGAGGCAGGCGGTGCAGTGCAGGTTTGGAGGGAAAGGGATGAATTAGTTGGACCTAGAACAGGCATTCTTGTCCCTTGTGGTTCCACAGAACCTCTTGGTTGGTAATGCCCACGAATCCCTTCTTAGACAACGTTTTCAATGCATAAAATAAAAGGCACAGGATCATATAGGAAAACAAATATATTAAAACATAGTTACCTAAATAATTTTTAAGAAAACAAAATGTGTGATGTAGTAATACAAATGCTTCTTTATTAATGCATTAAGTAACAAGATCTAGCGATGGGTCTAATAATGACCATAATTTCAAAGTAATGATGAGTGTAAGTGAGCCTTGAAAACATCTGTGATTTCTCTCAGAGACAAACACACAGGTAGTCCCTTTGGCAACTCTGGTTGGTTGCCCTTGTCCCTATTAGAAAGAAAGCTAAATATCAATTAGAAGCTATTAAAAATAAAGAAGGGATTTATTTTTCCATCCATTTTTTTTTCAAATCCTAGTTTGAGGAGCTCTGATCTAGAAAGAAAACATGGAGGTGGCCTCCAGGTCTTAAGAGCATCGTGGAGGCCCCCAAGGAGATGCCAGAACAGCAGAGGCACCTAATGTTTGAAGAGGAAGGAGTAGGGGGAGGGGGAGATGATGCTTTTTTGGCTCTTAATTCAGTAGTGCCCCTCCTCTTCTCTTCTCTTGTCCTCTACAACCTTCTGTTCCCCTCCCTGGATCCCTTTCCTGCTCTCCCCACTCTTCTGTAAAGATCAAAAGGTCAGGAGATGTGGTAGCGAGTGAGGGAGAGGTCTCATTCTCCTGTCCCTCCATCCCAGAAGTGGGAGGCGGGGTTTGAGGGAGGCACCCAGGAGACAGCCTCCAACCCTGCAGGGCCTCAGCCTCTGGGTCCCTTTTATTCTAGCATTGTTCTGAAAGGCTACAAGCAACCTCTGACCCTTGAAGATATCTGGGAGGTCGATGAGCAGAGTAAAAGCAAGACACTAGTCAGCAGATTTGAAAAGCACATGGTGAGAGAGCTGCCCCAGGCCAGGCGGGCACTGCAGAGACGGCGGCAGAAGAATGCCCAGAGGGACTCTGGAACCAGGCTGCATGGCTTGAGCAAGAACCAGAGTCAAAGCCAAGATGTCCTTGTCCTGGTAACTTTCCCACAAGCATCTGTGTGAACGCACTCTATGACTCAGGCAGGAGGACATCAGGGTCATGGTGACTCTGTCCTCACATTTTTACATCATTTTATACTTCGCAGTGTAGTTTATATTATTAGTATTCACAACACTAATAACACCTTAGTGATGGATACATGGGGGTAGAATGTACTATTTGCTCTCCTTTTGGGTATATATGAAATCTTCTATAAAAAAAGGTTTTTAAAAATAGAAAGATAAAATAAAATAATGCCTTAGCATTACTAGAACTTGTACCTTAGTGGAATTTAGCATTAGCAGTTAAGTCATTTACTTTTTCACTCGAAAATATCTATTGAGTGCCACCGTGTGTCACCAAACCCCATACAAAGGAGGCAGCAGGACTCAGGGCCTTACCAGTGCAGGACAGTCTTACACTCCATAGCTCTGAGGACACTCCTGTTGTTGGTTTTCTACTTAGGAAGAAGCTAAAAAGAAAAAAAAGAAGTCTGGGACCACAGAAGACTTCCCTAAGTCCTGGTTGATCAAGGCCCTCTTCAAAACTTTCTACGTCATCATCCTGAAGTCATTCCTGCTCAAGCTGGTGTTTGACCTGCTCATGTTCCTGAATCCTCAGCTGCTGAAGTGAGTCTCCGAGCCTGAGCTGTCTCAGGGCCTCCTTCTCCGCCCCTCTCCTTTCTGCCCCTTTGTCTGCAGGAAGGAGCTTATCATTGAATTTTCCTTTTTAAAATGCTCACAATTTTTGTCTACCTTACAGCACAGTGTGTGTGGAGAGTGCAAGCATCTTTCAAAATCTAAGATGATGTGTTCTATATTTAGTCTTCTTCTTTTCCACATTTTCCCCCAGCGGGCCCCCCCCGCCCCCCCCCCCCCCCCCTCACAGGAAGCCAGATACTTTGTTGGGAACTCTTCCTTGTTAAACAAAACTGCTGTGGGCTGAGCCATGTCAAGAGGTGGTCGGCATACCTCAGGGGAGCCTTGTGCCTCATGTCTGTACCCTCCTCATCCACAGGCACAGCCTTCAATAGCAGGTTCAGGATAATCATGACAAGATGCCATCGTCTGCCCGGACCTATGGCATGAACCACCTTCCAGGGGAAGCCCTCCTAACTCATTCTGGATATATGTCCTCATTCCCTTCCCAGCTTGTGTGGTTTAGGAACAAACTGACTTGTCCCATACCGCCTCTTTGTCCAGGGATAAAGCATTGCAGTGGAAGCTCTGCAGATCGTTCATAATCCCATGGCACAGTCATGGGTCATCAGTCCTGAGTGCTTCCTGCTCGTCTTCACACCAGAGCAAGGTCACTGGCACGACTGTGGCATTCAGTCTTCCAATGGGATTGACAATTCTGGTCGCTTTGTTACCTTCAGGGTAGGGTAGGGTAGCTAGTGCGCACGAGGAGTGTGGAGCCCTCCGAGGCTTGGTGGCTGTCACTTACTCGGTTTTGCCCTGGCAGGTTGCTGATCTCCTTCGCAAATGAGCAGGACAGCTATGTGTGGACTGGATACCTCTATTCAATCCTCTTCTTCTCTGTGGCCCTCATCCAGTCTTTGTGCCTTCAGTGCTACTTTCAACATTGCTTCATGTTGGGCATAAAAGTACGGACAGTCATCATCGCTTCTGTATATAAAAAGGTGAGTGGGCTATGTCAGGCATCTCCAGGGAAAACCCCCTTCGCAAATGTGAGCACTTAGTCCAAGACTGAGGAAAGTTTGATGAAAATGATAACTGACCTTAACACTTGATTTTGACTAACCGTACAACCTTCTTTAGATGTTTCTTTGGAAACTAAAATATGGAAAATGTAATATAGACATAAGCGTGTGTGTTGAGGGGAGAGGGACTGTTCCGAGGAAGAACCGGCTAGCTGTTCTCTGCCTAAGATCTGCCTTTCAGCCTTCAGAGCTTGCATATCTGTCTTCCTTCCTACCCTTCTTGGCAAGGAGAAAAGTCAGAAAAGAAAATGGCCCAGGGAAGACTCTTAAAACCACCAACACTTAAATCCATTACTACGTGAAGCAGCATTCATAAGGCCTGGTGCAGCCATCTCAAACTACAATTTTGCCATAGATTGGAATGCTTTGGATTAGGCCTCCATCTCCCCAGACCTACTTTTTCCTAGTGACTTTTTTTTTTGCTAAATCTTTAGTGCTGACCAACCCCTCCACTGCCTGATTCCTTCACACACACACACACACACACACACACACACACACACACACATTCAGTCTGCCTTCTGAGCTCTGCAGACATGGGAACTTTTTCATCTCTGTAAGATGATTTGTCCATCTTCCCTCTGATATTTAACATTTAACTTTCTCAGAGCAACTGTATTTTTCTTATATTCTAGATACCAAGGTGACGTCTCATTTTGTCCTTTAAGAAATGAAAATAGAGTTGTATCTCAATAAAGAAGAAATCACTTTAAAAAAAGAGATGAAAATAGAATTGATACGATCAATAAGCCTGAGGGGAAATTTTATACGTGAGGAGATAGGAATTTTTATAGGGCAGAACACCAAACCAGTGTCTTTTCTTCCCGGTTTTCTTCTGCTGCTGAAGAGTCCCATCACAGTGATTTCTCCATGACATTTCCTGGGTTTCTCCTTTGCTTTCCTCTCCTACAACATTCATGTGTCTTTGTCTTCCCTGAGTAAATGTTGACTCTTCAAGAGGCCCAGGCAGGTAATCCAAATGTCTTTAGGTCAGAAGTCTGAAACCTCCCAGAAACCCTCACACTGGCATCTGCCTTCTCCCAAATTAATGTTTGGTTTGTTTTTTTTTATTCCTTCTGAAGATACTGAATTTCTGCTAGTTTGCAGGATATGAGGTTACCAACTAGGCTCTCTCAGCCATTTCTACGAATGTACACTTTTACAATTGTGATGATTCATTCCCTTTATTTTTTTTAACACATCCTTAATCATTTTATTAGTTAGAACTTCTCACATTGACAACCCAAGGGTAAACTTTCTCTAATTTTTGAATCATAGAAATATATTTTTTATTGTTGTTCTATTACAGTTGTTCCAATTTCCCCCCATTTTGTTCTTCTACCCCATTCACCCTCACTCTTCTATTTTATTATTAATATATCCCAGGTTTTGCAACTGTTACAATTCATGGGGAATTTGTAAAGTAGAGCTTTTAATGAGACAAATAAATGTTGCTACTAAGATAGAATTTCAAATCGTTCTTATGTTTAGACAATGCTTCATTTGTGAAATGTTACGAAGCATTTTTCACATCCATTATCAACCCATAGTCTTATGAAATAATTGCATTATCTTAGAGCAATTCAATGCCTACGGTCACATAGCAAAGACCTGCCCCCACACAAGGGCTATTGGGAATAAATCAATGACTTTTCCACTTCACTGAGATTTATTGAGAAAGGGAAAGTAGAGGGATAACGTTGAAGGGCAATTAGATGTTACTTATTTTTTTCTATTCCATACCAAAAAGGAAACTAGAAGTGGACTGATTTCTCCAGAACCTTGGTAGCCTAACATTTTAGAAAATTTCCCTCTTTTTACCGTACAACCAAGAATCCTGGTATGTTCCAAATAAGGATGTATTGGTGGATTAAGATTGACAATAGAACTTCTAGGAGAAGCATTGAAATGACTATCTAGGGCCACTTGTAGCCCACACACTGTCTTTGTGGGAATTAGAAGAAGGTTCTCTTTCCTCCAGGAAGATGCTGATTCGGTGACCATAGTGCAAGCCGGTTTCAGTTACCCCACTGCCAACCCTAGCTCCTTAGCTGAGTGCATTTGTGCCAGACATTGCTGTAAGTGATAGACCTGTGGGTATCAGACTTCTGATCTCTTTAACATGAGAACAGAAGGCCCATACTGCAAGATTTAGAGATATAGACATTGCCTGCAAATTTCTGACAATAAGTCATTTTGTTTCATGTGTGTGAACCCTGCACCTTTCCTCTCCATTCTAAGGTCTCTGTCCTTCTTGGGAATGGTCACAGCCTTCTCATAAGAGCATGGCTACATCAAAAGTCTGCAAGGCCAGAATCAGTACATGCTTCTTCTCTTCAACCCTCTGTTTGTTCCATCTTTCAGTGTCTGATTCCCTGCTGTGTGCCATGTGATACAGTAGTGAAACGCACAGATGTAGCCCTAGTCCTCACAGAGATTACTTCTGGTGGGGAAATAGAAAAATGAAACAGCTACAGCTCAGTGTGGTGAATGCAATGGCAGAGGTAAGCACAGGATGTTATGGGAGTACACAAGAAGGGTATCTAACCCAAGCTTGTAAGTCTAAGGGAAGTGTTCTCAGAATAAGTTCTATCTAAGCTGATACTAAAGAATAAATAAGAATTTCCTGAGCAAAGAAGTGCGTGGAGGAGTGGAGTTGGAGAAGGTGAGAATAGCAGGAAAGAACAGTCAAGAATGAGAGAACACTGGGTAAAATTTGGAGGTAAGAAAGCATAGCCCCTCGAAAAAGTAGTGTCCATATGGAGCCCATCTTTCTCCTGTGTTCTTGCTTCCCGGGTTTCCCCTTTTACTTCCAAGTATCGTTGGCCTTGTCCATGGGTCCCAACCCCAATATTTATCTTTAGGCACTGAGCCTATCCAACCAGGCAAGGAAGCAGTACACCGTTGGAGAAACAGTGAACCTGATGTCTGTGGATGCCCAGAAGCTCATGGATGTGACCAGCTTCATCCACCTGCTGTGGTCAAATGTTCTGCAAATTACCTTATCCATCTACTTCCTATGGATAGAGTTGGGACCCTCAGTCTTAGCAGGTGTTGGTGTGATGTTGCTCCTAATCCCAGTTAATGGGATAATCGCCATCAAGAATAAGACTATTCAGGTAAAGAGAATCACCCTTCTTCAAAGTCTAAATATTTTTGCTTGTTTTATTCTAACTTTTGATGGGAGTATGGGCAAGGCAAAACTGATGGAAGACTTTCTACCATCCCAAATGAACTTGGCTTTCTCTTTTCATGTTCTGACTGCTCTCAGCATTTCTATACTCTGCCTTCATTCATGTTAGAAGGAAGAGCCTGATTGGAGAGAGAAGAGCTTCCTTGGGACCCTGAACATAACTCTTATACCCTGCTCCATTGGGCCCTTCTTAGAACAGTGATCATTGGCCTTGTTTCTTCATCATAACAATACAAACCAACCACACAGAACAGTCACGTGAGTGACTCAAACTCTAAGCCTAAACCCTAGCAATCAACCTTGCTACCACTGGTTGGCAGGATTCTATGTGGATGGTCCTTAGCTCTGCCAAGAATTATAGGCTAGGGTGGGTGAACTCCATGGCGTACACGATTCATTCATTCATTATGCATTCATTTAGTTACAAATTATTTTGAAAATATTGATTGTGTGTCCGACTTTTCTGGGAACACGGCTGCAAGTTAGACAAGGCTCTTGTTCTCGGGGAGCTTACCCTCTACTTTCAAACAAACAAAAACAAAGAAGGAAAATATCAAGGCGTGGGAAGTTCTCTGCAGAGAATTAAACAGGGTGATGTGATGGCAAGTGAGTGGTGGTGGTTTTAGATTACAGGGTCAGGAGAGGCCTCTGTAAGGAGGGGCTATTTGAGCTGAGCTCTGAACAACACAAGCCTGACCACCAAGGAGCAAGCCTGGAGAAAAACAACCTGGGAAGAGGCATAGTCAGGCCAATGCTGTGGGGCAGAAATGAACTTGGCATGTGCAGGGATCAGAAAGAAGGTGGGCGTGGCAGAGGCAGAGTGGGCGAAGAGGAGAGTGGGAGAGACACCTCCCATTGCTGGGCACCTCAAGCTCTTACCAAGTAACAGCCACAAGTGCCACCAAGTTGTATCATCTGCAGCAAATCTGGACTCTCTCACATGGGAGTGTATTTTTGTTTTTGTTTTACTTTGTTCTGACAGGTAAAAAATATGAAGAAGAAAGACCAGCGTTTAAAGATAATGAACGAGATTCTCAATGGAATCAAGGTGAGAAGCCGAGCGTAGGTGGCCCCCCTCTGTGTGCAATGCCAGCAGCTCGGGGGTCTCAGCCTCCGCAGACCCCAGCAGGGGTTGTGGACTCCTGCTCCTAGGCCTGTGGGTTGTCATGTGATTCGTCTACTCACAAGTCTCCTGTTTCTTCTCCTCTTACCCCTCTTGGGCCCTCTTTTGAACCCTGATTTCTATTTATTTTCCCTAAATGATTTGTCTTATTTTTTTATGTTACCTTATAAATTGTCAAATGTATACAAAAGTAAACAGAGTGATATATCAACATGCGTGGACATCACCCAGCTCCAGCAATAATCAGCATGACCTGGCTAGTTCCATCTATACCCTCTGCTCCTACTTCACTCGCTGCTCAATTACTTTAAAGCAAGCCTCAGATTGACTTGTCATTTCATTAGTAAATACTTTGCATGCCATATTCCTAAAGGAAAGACTTGTTTTTTAACCATAACCACAATACCATTATTACACTTAAAAAAAAAAGTCATTGTTTTGGTATCATTATATTTCCACAATTGCCTCGTACAGCTCTTAAAAAAAAGAAACAACTGTTGGTTAGTTTGAATAAGGATCCAAAGAATATCCACACATGGTATTTAGTTGATAGTGCTTTTAATCTGCAATAGTACCTCCCTTTTTTTTGGTTATATTGGAGAAACCAAGTTACCTTATTTCCTGTATCTCTTGTAAACTCGTAGTTACAGCTAAAACTTGGTTAGATTTGGATATGATCTGGGGAACCGGGGTGGTAAGGATGCTTTCAGATCATGGTATGTACTTCCAAAATCAGTGATGGCGAATGTGCCAGGGTCCCGGCGCTGCCGGTCTAGATTCATCCCTCATTAAATGTCCTGCCATCTTTGCACCCAGGGCACTGATTTGCGGCCCTGGCAGCACGTTTTGATCCCTTGGTAAGTGTGTAAAACTTGTTGAGGCTTGGGGCCTACTTCAAACCATTTAAATTGGACTCTCTAGGGGTAAGCCCCAGTCATATATTATATCTTAAAATCTCCCTAAGTGATTCCAATATACAGCTAAGGCTGAGAAACCACTGTCATTACCTTGACCTAGTATTTCATTAGGAGTTACAAAGGGTGATATTTTAATTCTATTATTCCTTTGGCACTGATTAGCTGGAGTTCTATAGAGAAGAATTATCTTAATCAACTAGTTGATTACCTTAAAATAAAATTTGTACCAGATAAGAAGGATACATATTTTCTTCTTTTCTCTATTTACCAGCTCTCAAAATAATGCATTTCATCCTCCAAAGGTGACCAATGAGCTCTTTTTCAATACATACATTGTTTTGAATTCATGGATTTTACATTACCGCAAAGTGCTTGAAAATGAAGCAGAGGCCCTTTTAATTCCCTGATATTTCTCCACACAGAGCTCTGATGTGCCTTCCTACTCATGTGGCAAAATGAATAGACCCGGTTTTGAGTCTCAGCTCTATTACTAGCTAACTGGTGACTCGGGGAAAGTTACTTAGCCTCTCTCAGCCTCTTTCCTTATTGTTAAAATAAATACAATAAAATTCCACAAAAGAAGGAGACTAACTCTCTCTAGTTTGCCCAGAACTTTCCAGGTTTCTCACTGAAAGCCCTGTGTCCTGGGCAGCCCTTAGTGCCAGGCAGGCTGGAACAGTTGGTCACCCTTAGATTGCTATATGGACTAAGTAAAATAATGTCTATAAAATGTTTGCACATAGTAAGTTGTCAACAAATACAAGCTACCTTTCTTTAATTATACTTTATTATCTGGATTCTTCCCCCCCCCCAAATTTTGGGGACCATATCCTAAAACCTGGGGGGCGGGAGACACGCCTGGTGTCCTTTGTAGGCAACAGTGTGAGCTGTGCTTTTTCTATCCTATTAGATCCTGAAATACTTTGCCTGGGAACCTTCATTCAGAAACCTAGTCTACAACATTCGGAAGAAAGAGCTCAAGAATCTGCTCCGCTTTGGGCAGATACAGTCTGTGATGATGTTTCTCTTATTCTTAACTCCAGTCCTGGTGAGTGAGACGTCTGCGGGCTGGGTCAGCCTCCTGAAGAAGAAGGTCTGTCCTAGACAGAATACCCAGGACCTTTAGGCCTGGCCCAGAAATCCAGGGAACTCTGCCCTCCTCTACCCTCATGCCTCCCTTCCTACCTCATGCCCCCAACTCTGGTTTCCACCCTTGTATACAATTTGGCGGTCTGGGAGCCCAGCCCAAGTTGCCAGGATGTTCAGCTTGAATGAGGTATTTAGGAGTGGTTTGCAAAGGGGGCTTCTTGTCTTCTTGGGGAGGCCATGCGGGTCCATAGTGGAAGAAACACCGATATAGGAGCCTGGAGACCCAAGCTCTGGCCCCAGCAATGCCATTAAGTCACTTTATGACTCAGGCGAAATATATCCTCCACTTCTGGGCTCAGCTTTCTCATCTGTAACATGGGAAGGTTGAGGTAACCCCTGTGATTCCTTCAACTGCTGTGTTCCTGTGACTTAGCACAAGGCTACTTGAGCCCTTTTAGGAATAATTTGTTCATGACCTTGTATTTCCAGGTGTCTGTGACCACATTTTCAGTTTATGTCCTGGTGGATAGCAATAATGTTTTGGATGCGAAAAAAGCCTTCACCGCCATCACCCTCTTTAATATCCTGCGCTTTCCCATGCACATGCTTCCCATGGTCATCTCTTCCATGCTCCAGGTAGGTAGGAACTTTCACTGCTAACTGATTATCTCTGACTAAAAATCTTAGACTCTAGAATGACTGGCTTATCACAACTCATTTCTAACTTCCGATGGGAACTTTCAACTAGAGAGATTTGTTTGGTTTCTGAAGAAGAATAGTTTGATCTTTGTAAAATCATAAGCTCTGAGCCCATTTATCTAATAATAAGTTAAGGATTCTCATCTACCTCACAGGGAAGAAATGCTTGTGAAAGAATTTGTTATTAACCCTGGTACCTGGAACATTTCTAAGCACTTTTCCCAGCCTTGTTCTCCTCACATTTCCCCAGAGCTCATGAGGTATTTATATAGCATTAGGGAACTATGGAATGAAGAGAGAGAACATAGCCTTTTTTCTCTATGAAGCCATGTGGTGGTAAAACAAAAGACAATTTGGGAGCCCCCAACTGTCAGAAAATGAGTTTGGAGTTCAGGAGGCCGTGGGTGGGCCTGAGGGGGCATCAGGGTCCTAAAAACTGAGCCCAGTCACTGAGATGGATGGACCAGCCCTCGGCAGGGAGACCAGAGGGCAGGCGGCAGCCAGGGTGATGGAGTGTGGTAACCTGCACCTGCCTCAGAGGCGGCTCCTGCAGACAGCTCAGGCCACGGGAAGGGCTGGGGTTTAGGAGAAGCCCTCCTTGTCCTGGTGGGGGAGGGGGAGGTTAAGGAAAGCTGACAGGTGTGGCCATAAAGGAACAACATGATCTTTTTGGATTCAGTCTATTTTTACATAGACAGCAGGACCAAGATCAGCAGAAATGTCAGCTTCCTACTGTCCCAGTCCCATAAGAAGACACTGAAACACAAGGGGCCAGAGAACAATGCAGTGGGGTAGTGGGGCGCTCTGTTTCTGAGGAGCTGTTGCCCGCAGCAGCTGAGCAGATTTGCAGTCTGCAGTTGTAGCCTAAGGAGAGGGCAGGGCAGAAAGCCTTGTGCTTCCTCAGAACCCAGAGGGCGATAGGAAACTGTTTCACAACCACATCCCTGGGAGATGGGGAGGCAGGTGAGAAACGTCCTGGAGAAGCTCCTGGAAATCATCCCAAGTTCTCATGTTCCAGGGGGACCAGAGGATGTTCTGCCAACATGTGGACCAGCTGTGATTTCAGCTTGACCTATGGGACCTGTGTCCAAGTGTGCCACAGCCACTTCCTTTACAGAGTCCCAAAGGGGCTCACTTAGGACGCTGGCATGGATTCAGTTAAAGAAGAGTGTGCAAGGGGCGTAGTTGCCAGAACCCAATAGAAGTTAGAGTTTCATCTCAGAGAAATGCAAGAGACAGTTTTTGAAACTAGGTACAAAGATTAGGGAGAGAGCAGGAGACTTGCCGCCCCTCCCCCCACCACCAGTTTTCTGAAGGCTTGAAGCAGAGCATCTTCCTTGCCTCTGTGCACAGGGATGTGCTGGCCCCAGGGCCAAGGCAAGGCTGAGTCTGTAGTGGGGGTCAGGAGGTTCCGGCAGCAAGTGGCAAATTATAGGCAAGGAGTCTGGCAAGTTGACCATCTCCTTCCACATCCAAGGCTGAAGACAAAGTTAAAATCCTCTCTCTGCTTGTGTTTATCATTGGAGTTTTATTCTTGAGGTCCTTTGTGCTCTTCTCTAGGCCAGTGTTTCCACAGAGCGGCTGGAGAAGTACTTGGGAGGGGATGACTTGGACACATCTGCCATTCAACATGACAGCAATTTTGGTAAATGAATTTGGAAGTTGTTTCCCAAATTTCTTTGCAGGCTGGCACCAGTACTTGGAAATACAGGGGCTCAGCAGCAGTAAATGGATTGAAAGGGAGAGTGAGGGGACTTATCTTGAACCTACATTTGCATATAAGTGTATTATTTTTCCTTAAGTTATGTTTTCACTTGGAACAGATTGCTTGGCTAGATTGCTAAACAAAGCTAGGTCAGCCGTTGTGAGGGTAAGCAGGGAATCCTGCGAAGGGCCTAGAGAGCAGAAGTCAGTATGGAGCTGAGCCAATGGAGCTGAGCCAATGGAGCTGAGCCTACGGAGCTGGGAAAGTAGGCTGGAGGGACAGAAAACGCAGGTTCTGGAGGTTCCAGGGTTGGGGGACGTCCATAGCCAGAGCGAGTCGTAGGTCTGGAATCCAGGGTAGGGAGTCGCTGGGTGTATATATGTGAGTGGAATTTATACCAGGAGACTAGGCAACAAAGCCTGAGAATGGACCCAGAGGGCCTGCAGGTCTGAAATCCAGGCCCACCGCAAGCCTTGAGCTCCTGAACCAAAAAGGACTTTGTACACAGGCAACTTGTGGTCTGCCCCAGGAGCTTTCACCACTGCGGGAGCCAGCGCCTGATAGAGGCGGTCTCGGGATCTGCTGGGGGAAGTGGAGGGGGACATGGGAGGGCTGAGAAAGGGCAGGCAAGCAGCTGGGGACCTGCGTCTGACTAAAAGAGGGGCCTTCTTTTCAGCAGACAAAGTCGTGCAGTTCTCCGAGGCCTCCTTTACCTGGGACCAGAATTCGGAAGCCACAATTCGAGAGTGAGTCACCTCCTTTCCATCCTGCTGTCCTTGCCTGTCCTGTGATTGAAAAATTCCATGTAATAGAACACAGGGGGAGATGAGCTGTGTTCACATGTCCAGTTGGATAGCAGTGCAGGCTCAACCACTGCAGGGATGAGCTGACAGCGAAGATTCTGAGCTTCTTTGCTCCTAAATGTATCTGCCACCCTGCTTTCCTACTGTGGGAACATACACATCCAGCTAAGAACCCATAAGGACACTTGTTCTCCAGATTGTGGCTGGAGGTATTACACAGCGGGCAGGTGGTCTAGGTGTCCAGGTATGATGAAGGACACACACAAGAACCTAAACTCAGTTTAATTTCATTCATTCATTTAAGAATGTAATTAAGAACATTGGAGTTTCTTCCCCAAAGTGGGCAATGGGAGCTGCCTCTATGAGATTCAATTTCAGGTCTGGAGTATTACATCTGAATTACCCACCCCGACCTTCCACCCTGGAGGCCACCTCTTCTGCCCTAAGCCAACCCCTTCTTGCCATGGTGTGGCGTATAATATATCTCTTAAGCACTTCATGTAACAGAAACCCAGCTCATCTATGGAGCACAGCACACGCAGACCACATCAGGGGCCTGCGTAGGCGGATCTTCCTTCTTCACAACCAAGCACACCTTAGCCCCTATCTGCTACAGTCAGGCCTTTCCTCCCTTCTCTGCTATTTCTACGGCTTTGAACATGGACTACGGAGCTTGCCCCAGGGTGTGTCAGGCCAGACTCTCCCTCTCTAAACCCTCCCAACCTGAAAGCTTTTCTTTGCAGAAAGAAGACTGGACACAGCTCCCCCTTTGCTAATAGAAGTCTAGAACAAGTTCTCCTCAATGGGCAGGTTCAGAAAGACTACGAACAAGTTCCTGGGGTTCCTAATATCTCAGGAGCTCAAACAATAGGGCTGACACACAGAGTTTCCAGGAGTCGAGCCCAGCGTGGACCCCTCTTCAGCCAGACAAAACCCCAGGGGAGGAGGTGGTGCTCTGTGCTTTCAGCAGATGTTCCATTGAATAGCTAGTCTTGTTGAAGAGCCAAGTTTGGGAAACATTAATCTAGTCCAAGACCATTAGTTTAGAAATGAGAGGCCAGAGGACAAGACATTTCAAGAGCGTACAGCTTGGCAGTGACAAAGTTGGAACCTGAACTCAGGTTTCCAAGCTCTTGTTCAACGGTACCATGTTGGTTCTAAATAAGAGTATTTTTCCAGTGGAAACCCAAGTTTGGCACAAACAGCTTATAGATGAGTTGAATACATTAAGGTTTACTTTCTGGGCTCTTAGAGCTCAAAAATAAATCATTAAAGAAGCACTTTGGAGTCTTGTATATCCGAGACAAATTTTCCAGTCTGGAAAGATAATCCCCAAATACCAGCTTTCCTATAGAGAGTCTGAGACGTGGCTTTGAATGCCTCTTGAATAAGTCCCCTCATCTCCTGCAAATACACTCCTCTTTTTCAGTGTGAACCTGGACGTTATGCCAGGCCAGCTGGTGGCTGTGGTGGGCAGTGTGGGCTCTGGGAAATCCTCCTTGATGTCAGCCATGCTGGGAGAGATGGAAAATGTTCACGGGCACATCACCATCAAGGTGAGAGGGGACACCAAGGAGAAGACTGACACTCACGCATGTGCCACTTCGTGCCACTTCTTCATGTGGCAGAACACACTGCGGACGAGAATCTGATCATCACTGCTATCGTGTTGCTGTATGGGTAAAAGGGCTTGGAGACACCTGGTAGGCTTGTAACTGATACATTCTTTGTCCCACCTCACATATATAATCAGACTCAATGGGTAAATTCTAAGAATCTGCATTTTTAATGAGCTACCCACGTGGTTCTCATATGCATACTGAAGTTTGAAGACTGTTGAATAGAGATGTCTTCCTTCAGAGTATAGGCAAATTCTGCTGTATCTATATATATGTTTCTGAAAACTTCACATTCCACAAAATTATGCAACAAAATAACTAGACTGGGGAGAAAGAGTCCGAACAGATTATTAAACTTATATAACTTTGTAACCAGGGTACCTAAAAACCCAATAAACAAATAACAATAAAAATAGTGACACTGTAAAATCTCTGCTGACAATTATACCCAACACCCCAATTAGTCCTGGGCCTCCCGCCTCTCCTTTGGTGGTATTTGTTTCCAATACAAAACTTTGATGTAAGGTGTAGACATCTTTATCAATTATGTTTTTAACAGAGAGGAAACGTCTTCATGGCATCTTCATCAGCACTCTCAGCTTCCCCAGAAAGCTACATTTAGGGGAAACTATTGGTACTTTGGATTATTTAACCAGCCATTACTTACACCAAAAAAAGGCATGCCTATAAATTTTTAGCTCTTTTCCTTAAGATCTTTATATATTGCTGAGCCTTCTTTTTAATTATGAGAAAGCTTGCCCCTGATTGCTTTTCATGGACATGCTCAGATCATTTTTAAGAACGTCCACTTTATACTGACATTATTCCCTTATTTGCCAATCACTAATGAGCTAATTTGCATTAAATCTACAGGCAGTGTAGCAGAGTAGACTCTACAGACTTTTTTTTTTAATTACAGTTTACATTCAATTTTATTTTTTATTAGTTTCAGGTGTACAGCATAGTGGTCAGACAATCACATACTTTATAAAGTGGTGCTCTTATATTTTACGTTCCTACCTGGTACTGTACATAGCTATTACAATAGCGTTGACTACATTCCCTACACTGTACTTTACATCCCTGCGACTATTCTGTGACTGCCAATTTACACTTCTCAATCCCTTCACCTTTTTCACCCATGCCCCCAAACCCCCTCCTCCCTGACAACCATTGGCCTGATTTCTATATCTGTAAATCTGCAGATATATATCTATATCTTCTAAATCTGCAGAATCCACAGATTTCACTCTGTCTCTTAATTCCTTTTGGGAAGCATTTTCTTGCTACCCTATAACTGAGTTTTTCCTCAAACACAGGCATCTGTTGGGCTCATCTTTCTTTGGACATGATCTGCTCCATGCATCAGCCTGCACCGTATTTTCCACTCTCTTAGTTCTTGCTTCATCATATCCTCTGTACTGTTCCCCTGTCAGTGTTTGCTGTCTGGTGGTCCTAGTAAATTCACTGGGGTCTAGACTGGGGTTCTAGAAGCAGCATATGCATTCATCCTCCAATTTTCAGGATCAAGACTAGAAAGAGAGTGTCAAACAAATGGGACTTTACATTATAGGAAGGACTTTGAATTCTTTCTCACTGGTTGGTGTGATAAATACAAGCACATTTATAAATATCAGATGTCCAGTCAACTGACAGACATTTGTTCAAATCTAAGTTTCACTTGATCCTCCCAGTTCCTATCACCCCCTCCTTCAACCCGGCCTTTCTGGAGGTACAACTGCCATATGGTCTGCTCATTTCCCATACAGGGCAGTATAGCCTACGTCCCACAGCAGTCCTGGATCCAGAACGGCACCATAAAGGACAACATCCTGTTTGGATCAGAGTTAGATGAAAAGAGATACCAGCAAGTTCTAGAGGCCTGTGCCCTCCTCCAAGACTTGGAAGTGCTGCCCGGAGGAGACCTGGCTGAGATTGGAGAGAAGGTACTTAGAACCTTGACAGGTGAAGAAATAGCAAAGAAAAAAAAGTGAAGATGACAAAGAAGTATATGGGAGCAAAATACTTGACTGAGTTTGGTGGTCATGTTAGGAACAAATACCAGAAAACATGAGTTTGCACAATATTTTATACAAATAACTCAGAAATTAAAAATTTTGTACCTGGAAGCAAATTACAGGGATTGTGTAATCTAAAGGAAGGATGATGAAACTAGGACCCAAGAGGTTAACCGGGACTGGGCTGAGGTTGACGTCATGGTGGGGGAAGAGCAGCGGGACAGAGCCTCACTGTTCTTCTGCTCTGTGTGTTAGTGAGAGTCAGAGAGAGTTTCTAAGAATCTGCTTTGAACAGGTAGATATTTAGTATGAGTTATTTCCTCGTGTTATTAAATGCCTTCCTTAAAAAACAGATTTTTAATGACTGCTGTAGATCGTACCCATTATATGAATTTGGCGTAATTTGTTTAACATCCCTGATTATCACATATTTGGGTTGTTTTCATCCTCTCTCCTATTAAAAAACAAAATTCAACCAAGTAAACCTGCAGGTCTGATTGGCTTTATTCAGTGCTTTGCGAATGGGGCAGCGTCCCATCAAACAGCTCCAAGGATGCTCCAAGGGTGGCACAAAATTAGGAAAATAGGGCAGGGAAAGAAAGCCGTTAGGGAAAAAAAGAGAAATTACTTTGGCGGGCACCTGGACCTGTGTTTTTTTGTTTGTTTGTTTTTTGAGAGAAAGAGACCAGGGAAGGGTTTTGTCCTGCAGACTGCCTCTCCTTTCTGCGGGGAGGAGAGCAGGAGGGAGAAGGCCCGCCAGAGAGGCCGCCTTAGTGGTGGTGCCCAGAAAATTCCACACTGATTGATTAAGACTATGTTACTGGGAGAGTTTGAAACAGAAATGAGCTCAGATATTAAATCTAGGTTTGGTATCCTGGGCTTTAGCTCAAGTGACACTATTCTGGGCCTGTGGTTTTCTCTTTCATTGCCCCTGTTACAAAAACTGCCTATAACATCTTTGGAGACAATGATCTTGAAATGTTAGAAGACTTGTGACAATACAGCTGTAGAGTGATTTTGTTCATTAATTCCACATAAATTTATTGAGTACCTATGTGCCAGAGACTATTTTAAGTGCTAGAGTTCCATCCATGAACAAAATAGAGAAAAATCTCCCTGGTATAGTGTTACATTCTCGTGGACAGGAAGCAACAAAAATAAGTAAATTACATAGTAGAAAATGGTAAGGTGGCCCACCTTTAATTGTTGGGCCTAAAGTGATTTAGTTGAGTCAAAGTTAGCTATTTGTATAAAGGAAATTGTAAGATTTTTTAAGCCCTTGGTACTCAATTGAAGCAAAATTCTTTCTTACTCCCCCTCACTAGCCACTCTGAAGGCAGGACTAAGGCATAGTGCTTAATAGAAGTGGTTTTCTTCTTCAGGGCATAAATCTCAGTGGGGGCCAGAAGCAGCGGATCAGCCTGGCAAGAGCGGCCTACCAGAATTCAGACATCTATATTCTGGATGACCCCCTGTCAGCCGTGGACGCTCACGTGGGAAAACACATTTTCGAAAAGGTCTTGGGTCCCAATGGCCTATTGAAAGGCAAGGTAAGAAATCATTTAAAGTGACCAAAACATGAGGCATGTCTGTGTGTTGGGCTGGGGGATGGGCAGAGGGGGTCGCTCACGTCTGCTGGGACAGCTGCTGTCCTGAAGCAGATTTCCTTATTTACCTGCATCCCTGGGCTGCTGTGGTGATAGAGTGTCTGACTGGTCTTCCAGGACCTGACCCCGTGAGGGCTCCCATCTTGAGGTAATGGATAATTTCAGCCTTACTCTGTGAGTTGGACATTGAGCTTGTTAAGATGATTGATTATAATAAAAAATACTTTGAGACCTGTAGTGTAGTAAGAAACACATGTGGTCTTTGTCTCCAGTTCCTAGCACAGAACTACTAACCCTTGTAATTTTCTGAGTGATACTAGGGGTGTCTTTTGTTATTTGTAATGAGCCACAGGAGTCTGTGATTCCTAAATAAGTGATTTAGGGTGGAGCCCTCAGATAGGGCAGGGCTGTTCACCAGAAAAGCCATGTGATAGAAGGGTTGGAACTTTTAGCCCCACTCACTGACCTCTGGGGAGGGGAGGAGGAGCTGGAGATTGGGCTATAACAATTCTTAAACAAGGAGATTCAGAGAGCCCTGGGTTGGTGAACACTCTAAGGTGCTGGTATGGTGGAGCCCCTAGTGAGAACATGGAAGCTCCAATGCACACCCCCTCCCCCATACCTTACCCTATGCATCTCTTCCATTTGACTGCTCTTGAGTAATATCCTTTATAATATATTGATAAATATAAGTAAAGTGTTTTTCTAAGATCTATGAGCCATTTTAGCCTAGTATCACCTGAGGAGGGGTCTGGGGATCCCTGATTTGTAGCTAGTTGGCCAGAAGTATGGGTGGCTCAAACCTTGCGAGTAGCATCTGAAGTCAGGGCATCTTGTAGGACTGAGCTATTAAACTGTGGTGTTTGTGCTTCTTTGAGGTAGTTAGTGTCAGAATTGAATTGAATTGTTGAACACCTAGCACAGTCAGAGAACTGGTGTCAGAAAACACCCCAGAGGACGCAACAACTCATCTTGCAGCGGGACACAGGTCACCTTGCAGGAATTTGAGCTATGCTCTAAGAAAGCACTGTCCTGGAACCCTTGCAGGATATAGGAACACTATATCTGAAGAGGGTAACTCAACCTGAACATGGAAATAAAGTTGACATATTTGGGGGAATTATTATGTCCCAGGCCTGTGCTAAGCACTTTGATTGCATTGTCTCACTTAATTCTCACAATGCCACTGTGAGATAGCACAGATAAAGTGACCAGAATAAGTCACTAGAGCTGGTGGTAGGAGGAGACCAGCCTTTTCTTACCATGGGCAAGTTAGCACACTTGTCCTGACGTTGGACCAAATGAGGGAAAGGCCGACAGAGCCCCTTGAGGGTTTGAATATGCACCTCACCAGCAGCAAGTATAGAGTGGGACTGTCAATAACAGCATTTCCCTCAGCACCAAGCAGTAAGACTCCATGTGTATTTGACCTGTTCCCTTCAAGATCTCCTAAATGTTGCCAGTTAGGATGGCAGGGCTGACCAGGCTGCTGTTCTCTATTGGATCAGTCAATGAGAACTCACTCTCCCTCTTATTTCTGCTCCTGACTTTGGTCCTTAAGGCCTCTTGTCTCCATTTATTAGTGAACTGAATAACCCCCTGTTTCTGGTGTATTTCAAAGACTGGGCACACATAGGTAAACATCTGGTCCCTGCTCTCAAGGAACTTACAATCTAATGGGAAGACATATGGAAAAACAAACACAATATTATAATACAAGAATTTAAGGGCATTCTACATACACTACAATGGAAACATTGGAGGAATACCCAAGTTTTGCCTGGAGGCTCAGGAAAGCCTCCCAGAAGAGTTGGCGTTGAGCTGAGACTTGAAGAATGAGCACCTCCTGCATCTCCTAAGAAGAGGGACCCAGTGTTTGTTGATCTGTGAAGTGGATAGAGACAATGGGCTTGGGTTATCTCATCAGAAGCTGTTCTCAGCCCTATGGTGCCTATCTGAGCCTAATTACTGATCAATGAGTGCTTGTCTTTCTTTGAGTGGAGTCCCTGTTTCAGCAGTCAATGTGGTTCATCAATAGACAGAAATACAAAGAATGTGGTATCCCATACAAGGGAAGCCCTGGACCGAAGACAAAGTTTCTTGCCTCACAATGTCACTAACATGCTGAAAGAATCTGGGCAGTTCTTGTTAGCTCAGGTTGTTAGCTGGTTAGTGAAAGGGGCAGTTAGTTAGCTAGTTATTTAGTTAGTTATGTCAAGTGGCATTCCTCACTAAGCCCAACTCCTGGTTACCCAAGAAGCTGGAAAAGAACATGTATAGGACACACCTCATTGTCACTATAAAAAATAATTTCAAGTATATCCACAGTGACACTAGTCTCATTGTACATATGGGGCAGGTTTTAGGATGCAGTGCTAGGAAGGAAAAAGGAAGTAGAAGAGGCCAGATGGTTAGGGCCACATTTTGAAGCAATGCCCCACAGTGGATTGAGTCTTCTGTTTTCCCTTCTTTAGAGTAAGACAAGGAAGGTGGTGGACACAGGTCTACCAGCACAACTTACTGTTATTTTTACAGACTCGGCTCTTGGTTACACATAGCATTCACTTTCTTCCCCAAGTGGATGAGATTGTGGTTCTGGAGAATGGCACCATCTCCGAGAAGGGGTCCTACAGCGCTCTGCTGGTCAAGAAAGGATTGTTTGCTAAGAATCTGAAGACATTTATGAAACAGGCAGGTCCTGAAGGAGAAGCCACAGGTATGTAAGGACAATTGGAATGGGTAGAATTTGGGTATGGCAAGGAATGGGAGTGGTAAACTGGTATCTCCTGGACTGCTCAGTATCCAGTGAACTAGATTTGAGTGTGAATTACCCAGAGATCAAAAAATCTGCTCCTTCTGTGTTTTGTGTCTCTGTAAAGAAACACAGACATAAAACTCTATGCCAGAGCCAAAATGGAGGTTCATGCTGCTTATCTGGTCTTTGCCATGTAGTCAAAGGGCACTCTTTAGAAAGTATGACCAGAGATTTGGTGGGACTAACCCTTCCTTCCAGCCTTGGGTCCCAGTCTCTGGAACTGAGAAAGCAGCCAACCCCCGAATTACCTTCAGAGACATTCTTCCCTTTTCTGGAAGGATAACATGTGTTCATGGCTGGATAGCTCTATTGACCCATTTTCTTCTTGCAGAATCCTAAAATTCTGACAGTGTCCCTTCAATGTTCCTCACCTCTGTCCCCTACAGTCCAAGCTGGCAACACTTTGTTAAGATGGTTGATTGGATCAAGTCACATGCCTAAACTCTCTAGAAAATCTGCTGTTGAGTTTTCTAGTACATTTTTTTATTTAGTTATTGTAATTTTCAACTCTAGAATTTCTATTTTCTACTCTTTAAATAATTTTTATTTCTTTATTGATGTTCTCTACTTGGTGAGAACTTATTCTTAAATTTTCCAGTACATCTTTAGACATGATTTTCTTTTGCTCTTTGAACATATTTATAATAGCTGATTTAAAGTCTTAATTTGGTAAGTTCAATGTCTGTGTTCCCTCAGGTACAGCTTCTGTTGACTGCTTTTTCCCTGAATATGGTCTCATAATTTCCTGCTTCTTTGTATGTCTCCTACTTTTTTTGTTGGAAACTGGTCATTTAAAATAGCGTAACACTCTGGAAATAAGGCTTCCTCTGCCAGGGTTTGCTGTGTTGTTCCACCTGTTTAGTTTCTTGAACTATTCTGTTAAATCTGTATTCTTCGCCACATGTGGCGACTGAAGTCTATGCTTGGTTGACTGAAGGGTCAGTTAATAACTAAATGTTATTTTCTTAAGTTCTGGGAACCAATAAATCATTCTGCCCTTTCTAAGAAGCTGAAGAAGAGATGGGGCATGTCTTTAACACTGCAGCAGGCAATTTACTGTTCTGCCTCAGCCTTTCTTATTTTTCTGCTTACACAGAGCCTGATGGTTAGCCAGAGGTAAGAGAATAGGTCCTTTGTCAAGTTTTTCTTGGGCATGTGCATAACCCTACACATATGTGTGACATTTTAGATTATCAGGAATATATTGAAAGTATCAAAGCTCCTTGTGAATATCTTATTCCCAGCTTTTCCTTTTAAGTTTTGGTCAGCTTCTTATTTACCCCAACTGTTATGACAATCTCAGGCAGCTGTGATGTTAAACAGTTGCTGCTACTTGTTTGAGCTAGCTAGCTCTGATTCCAGTCCAATAAAGACCAGACCTGTGAATGGGGTTTTCCAGGGAGCTGCCAGACAGGTCAAATAATGAAAATTCTCAGGGGGTGAGGTGTTTGGTGGGGAGGGGGTGTGGCCCCAAACCAGTCTGTTCCCTCCAGCAGCTGCTAGGCTTCTGGTTTTTATGGATAACGTGATTATGAGGCTGTTAGTTTTCTAGGCTACAGGAGATCTGAGAAGAGGGGGATGGGAATAGAGTAAATTAAACTATCACAAAGTTTACTATTCTTACTGACATGTAGTCATTTTTCTTAAATAAATGTTTCTTGGATAGTTGCAAGCTATTGGCTAATTTCAGAGTTATGAAAAAGTTGATTTTGACAATTTTTTGCTATTCTCATTGCTTTTATAGAGGTACCAATTTCCAGATGTCCTTAATCTACTATTCTGATGCCCAGGTTATGTTAACATTTTATTTTATTTTATTTTCAGGGAGTTTTTTTAAATGCTTTGAATTTATAAAAGTTTGTCAAATTATTAGAATTTCAAGAAGAGCATTTTAAATTTACACTTACCCCTTTAGTTAGTTCTAAGGATTATGACTCTTGTGTTTGTATAACACTTAAAAGTTCTTTCCTGCTACAAAGGAACTTAGAAGTTCCTGGGAATATTTTTCTTTTTTTTTTTTTTTTTTGACCATTTTATCTTCCAGTGGAACATTAACTCATTTCTCCTTTACCCTGGTATTTTTCAATGAGAAAATGTAGCAATAAGTAGTATTTCTGGAGTAAGAGATTCCAGCCTGTGTGTACATCTGGGATCTCTTGCTGAGCCCAGCAATATCAGAAAAGACATCCCTCTTCTTGTTCGTAAGGCTGTGAGAGCTCTGTGCAGCTGTCTCTCTAACCTTTGATATGTATTGTAGTCAATGAGGACAGTGAAGAAGAAGATGACTATGGGCTGATGCCTAGCATGGAGGAAATCCCTGAGGATGTGGCCTCCTTGACCATGAAAAGAGAAAATAGCCTTCGTCGGACACTTAGCCGCAGGTTGGTCATCTCTTCAGCTGGCAGCCCCCAACCCCTCCGTATTCCCACTTGATTATCCTCTTTTTCTATGTGCATAGTGGACACCATGAACACTCTCAACTCTTCCTTTATTTGCTTGTATGGGGGGTGGGAGTAGTGTGCTTCTCCAAGGCCACCTGCTTTGAAATGAGCTTTGGTGCAATCAAAGAGACTGTGATATCTGCTTGTAAGAAGAACCTCAAGATACATCTATCCGCTCAGGAAAGCTTTCCCCTTTTCAATTTCTCAGCTCTAGGTCCAGTAGCAGGCCTCTGAAGCCCCTGAAAAACTCCTTGAGAACTCAGAATGTGAATACCCAGAAGGAGGAGGAAGAACCGGTGAAAGGACAAAAATTAACTAAGAAGGAATTCATAGAAACTGGAAAGGTGAATACAACAGTAAAAAGTACCATTAGAGGTGATATAAGGCTTGGGATCCCAACATTTCAAAGTTTCATGCCTTGAAAACACATCTATGGGAGGTCTATGTCTTATGCTTGCTTTGCAAGTCTTTAAATTCATCATTGAAATATTGGTAGAGACTCTGAGCTTTCTATCAATATCATATTTCCATGAAGAATGACATTTCCCATGAATATCTTCATAGCACACATCATGAGTGTTTGATTCCATTCGGATATGTGGAGAAAACAACAAAACTTCTTTGAGATGCAATTCTGGGAGCCAGAAGTCACTAATATACCTCAGAGTACACGATTCAAATAAAACTTAAAACCAAGGTCTTAAATCCAAATTAATAAAACAGATTCCAGGGTCTACAGTATAACCCCCTTTGTCCCACTCCATTTTTCTATCTTCTCCTCTTAATTGCAACTATAAGTTCATTAATAATCTGATAATTATTTACCTTGCATTGTATCTGAGCATTGATTATTATCCTGGCCCAAGCAGAAATGATAACCACAGACTACCAAATTCTGCTACTTGTGATCCATTTTTTCCAAGGACCCCACTCACCCTTGTGATTGGTATTCTAGGTAATTCTCCACCAAAAGCTAATATGAATTCTATTAACATTGACGGGGGGGCTTTGCAGGTCAAGTTCTCCATCTACCTGAAATACCTACGAGCAGTAGGATGGTGTTCATTTTTCTTCATCATCCTTGCCTATGTAATTAATTTTGTGGCTTTTATTGGATCCAATCTCTGGCTCAGTGCTTGGACCAATGACTCTAAAACCTACAATGGCACCAACTATCCAGCCTCTCAGAGAGACATGAGAGTTGGCGTCTATGGAGCTCTGGGATTAGTGCAAGGTACGTCTGATGGCTACAATAACCATTTCTTATGTAATCTGTCTAGTCAATGTACTGTGCCTGGACTCAGGAAAAGAATTGCCATATTGTCTTTGGCACTAGGCTTCAGGAATCCCTGTGCATAGTGCTTATTAAACTGTTTCCATTTTTAGGTATATCTGTGCTCATAGCAAATCTCTGGAGTGCCTATGGCTTCATCCATGCATCAAACATCCTTCACAAGCAACTGCTGAACAATATCCTTCGAGTACCCATGAGTTTCTTTGATACAACACCCATAGGCCGGATTGTGAACAGGTTTGCTGGTGTAAGTATCTCAAGGGTTGTAAGATTATGTGTTTGTATGCTGAAGATCTTTCTATTTCTGACAGGGAAAGAATGCTCACATTCCCCAGGGCAGCACTGTGTAGTTCCCTTGTCCATCAGCATGCAAATAATTTCTTGAGTATTTTCTGTGAGGTCTCAAGGATCCTAGCAATACAGGACTGAACAGTTCTGGGCCTTTAAGTAGTTCACCATCTAGTTAGTAATACAGCCAAGAAAATAAAAGATTGTAATGTAATATGATAAAACCAAAATAACAATGATGTGTACAACAGTGTTTGGGAGTACAAAAGAGTGACAGAGAAAAAGTACTAGCTCAGCCTGGGTGATTTAGAGTGGTAACTGGGGGAAAGGGTGAGACTTAAGTTATAGAAGTTAACCAGGGAGATGGTGGGAGCAGGGGGTGGGTGGGTAGCAATAGAAGCAGGATGAGAATTAGTGGGCAGAGGGAAAAACACAAGTAACAGCACTATCACTGGCTATGACAATGAATGAAAGGAACAGCAGGATAAGGATAATCCTTTGCTTGGTCTCTGCCTCCATTCCTGAAACCTCTACCTTTTATACTTGAAGAATAAGTAAATTAGGTATGGATTATGGAAGAGAGCCACCTGTGATTTTAATGAGGATCCAAAACATTGTCTCCATCTACTGCAGATCATTCATCCATTCATTTATTCATTTAATGACATTTATTGAGCACGTTCTGTGAGCCAAGGACTGTAGTAGCCCTTGGGATGCTCAATAAATGTTAAGATTATATAGATGGCTCCCTTCCATGAGCCAGAACTCATTGATTCTTTTTTTTAAAATCCTCACTCAGGGACATGTTTATTGCTTTTAGAGAGAGTGAAGCCAGGGGGTGGGGGGAGAGAAACATCAATGTGAGAGGGAAACTTCGATAGATTGTCTCTCATAGGCGCCCTGACTGGAGACAAAACCCACAGCCTAGGAATGTGCCCTGACTGGGGATTGAACCCACAATTTTTCAGTGTATGGGACAATACTCCAACCAACTGAGCAGCCCAGCCAGGGCCAAACTCATTGAATCTTAATGCATGTGAAATGGGACTCTTAGGAATAGAGGCAAAATCTAGGCGATTCTGAGTACTATTCACTGATCACCAGCACAGTTTTCAGTCCTCTGCAGAAGAGGAAGTACATATTTCTAAATGTCTGAGCAGCTCTGGACCCTTATTTGTGTGGTCTTGAGGCAGACACTGAAAGGCTAGCTCATAGCCCACTGCCAGACTGAAGACACAGTGACTGCTTCAAGAATGGGTATTTATCACCTTTCCCTGGGACAAAGTGGTGGGCATGATGTCACTGGAGACAACTTTAATGGGCCCTCTGCTCTTTAACAGAACCTTACAAAGCACCCTATTTGGGATAGGGAGAGTTCACACAGGTGTTTTCAAAAATTGCAACTCATTTCTGATGTTGTAATATATAACGAATCTTCTGTAAAAGAGAACACAGAGGTCTTACTGTGAATTACTTAGGCAACAGTTGTGTTTTGCTAACTGCTTTTGCAGGAAAAAAAGAAGCTGTCATTGATTATATAGTGAGTTTTGTGGGGGAAGTGGTTCAGACCCGTAAAGGACAGTTTGATCTAGGGTCCTCCAGAGCTGATAGTGGCGCCCTTAAGAGGAGATAGATGAGAAGGTAGAGGAAAGAAGGAGAATCTGTGCCAGGTAAGAGTCAGAAATAATGTGTACACAAATGATAGATGGTGAGTATTTCTTTTTTCTGCCCATCTTGGACATATTATTATTCTTCACATTTGGACTTTGGGAAGGGTAAATGAGACTCAGGAGTCTGTCAGGAAACTGTTATCCTTTGCCCAGTGTGGCACACTCCAGGCAGAGATAACATGGATTCAGTTTGATACTCACATATTACAAATCTTAGAATTAACAGATTCTAAGAAATATAGACAAAGGAAACCCAAAAATATAATCTATGCTTCCTGTGTACACTCAACCATCCATCCCTCCATCCCTCCCTCCCTTCCTCCATCCATCCATCCGTCCCTCCCTCCATCCATCCATCCCTCCCTCCATCCATCCATCCCTCCATCCCTCCCTCCATCCATCCGTCCATCCATCCATTCCTCCATCCACTCTTTTGCTCATTTATTCATTTATTCAACATGACAAAAAGGTGATATGGTAGTAAGACCCATCCATTATCTCTTTTAGAACACTGACAAAGCAGGGGCCCACCTCCCTTTCCCCTTAAAGTTCTATACTTGACAGAGGAAACGACTTTCCAGGTTCCTCAGTCAAGGGGGGTGGGTGTGACAAGACTTCTTGACTGGAGCCACCAAATAAATGTTTACTGAACACTTGTGATATACTGGGCTCTATTGAAGGCACTGAACGGAATTGGGACCTGTGTAAAGTTAGAATAATTGAATTGATTTGGCTATAGAAAGGTTTACCTTCTAAGGCTCTATTAGCTTAGGGTGGTTATGAGTGGTTTAATCAATTTGACAAATGAGAATTTCACTGAAGGGAGTATAACCCTTTGCCACATCTATCGAGGGATGACTGCCACATCTGTTTGGAGGGATTTAGAAAGATGAAGATATTACGGAAATGAGGTTGGTTTTCAGAGTGAGCAGAGCAGTCTATTGTAAATGAATATGATGAAATGAAGGAGTCCCTGAGAACTCAGAACTGAACACATCTCCCACTGGAATTGGGGAAATCTAAAATGCCGTCGGAATTCATCAGTATACTATCTTTCCTAAATGTGTGTTCCCAGGATATTTCCACGGTGGATGACACCCTCCCCATGTCTTTGCGCAGCTGGATTTTGTGCTTCCTGGGGATCATCAGCACCCTTGTCATGATCTGCATGGCCACTCCAATCTTCATCATCATCATCATCCCTCTTGGCGCCATATATGTGTCTGTTCAGGTAGGTTTGGGAATGGCTGCGTCTCCTTTCCTCTCTGTTTATAAAGCCCAGCTCCTTCCTGAGACTCTTCTCCTTTGTTTATTGCTAGTCTCTCGCTCCTCTTCAATACCTTTGCTATTTCCTTGTATATTGATATCCCTAGGAGCCCACAGGCCATGATCTGAAGCTGAAGTGGCAGCACCAATTGGTGCATGGTTCACAGCAAACTCACCTTAACTGCTGTCCCCTGAGAAGCTTAAGTGGGGCACATTTATGTTTAGATCCAAGACTACCATGAGGGTGGCCCTGGACAAAGTTCTGAAGCTCTGTATGAACCCCCTGCAAGGGTTAGGTCATTGGTTCCAGGGCTGCTTCCTTGGTTGACTTAGGCTTATCTGCTTGGAGAGGTCTCTCCACAGGAACTCAGTCTCTTTTCACTTCAGGGCAGGTCCAGTTTCATTGAGTGCCTTTGGGTGGCTTAGGCTCAATTCCAAAGTGTTCTGGAGGGAACAGATAGTTTGAGAGCCAAGCCTTACAGAAAAACTGGAGCAAGTAGAAGGGACTTCATGCCCATAATAAAAACTGATGAGGGGAAGGAAGCTCTGGAGAGAACTCTTGTCCCCCCAGTTACCTCTGGGATGAAGAGGATAACAATTCTGACCTTGCAGTCAGGGGTGGGTGGTGACAAGCCTCCTGGTGTTTGTGTTGAGTTCCTCCTCGGGTACATTGTCATCTTGGTAACAGCCTTTCGGCTGTTAATAACAAACCAATACATAAGACGCAGGACGTTTGAGAAGACTTTCAGGTATCATACTTCGAGTTCTGGCTCTCAAATGCTGAACTCTTCCCTCGTTTTGACAAATCCTCACGGAATCTAGTAGCACCACTAATCCATTCCACCAAACCTCGCCCTTCAGCCCTCATGGCCAGGATGGTTGGCCTACACGCCCTGTCACACCCCATTCTGGCTCTTAGACCCTCGACATCCTACCCAGCTCCGGAACTGTCTCTCACCATAGCACCAAGACACCAATCTCGTCACCCACTTGTCTCTGTTCAATTTCTATCCAAACTTCCAGATGCCTTTCTCCAGCCCCTTCCTGACCATCTCTACTTTCCCCACTCCTGGAGTCCCAGCTGCATTTACAGTCATCTTGAAGACCATTTTCTTTCTAACTGCTATAAAACTGTCATTTGGACAACATATACAGACTCTTGGGGGAAACATGGATTAGGCTGACAAAACTGCTTATGTGGTTTGGAAGTTCAGACCACTAAGGCTGTGGTAGAGACTGCCCATCACCGTCTTCTTCTGCTCCCTGCCAACCTCAGATCTTCCTGCCATCCTCCTCCTCTGAGCCTCTCTCATCGCTCTTCTAGCCAGAGGCGCGACTGGAGGCTTCTGTCCTGTTCATTCTGGGCTGTGACCATCAAGGTGAAGAACAGTGGGTCCTCGTCACAAAGGAAGAGGTGCGGCCCATGTGACATGATTGTGTGACTAACTGACTCCTTACTTTTGGGATCCAGATGTTCTACGTGGCCACTTCCCGCCAGCTGAGACGTCTGGACTCTGTCACCAGGTCCCCACTCTACTCTTTCTTCAGTGAGACTGTGTCGGGCTTGTCTGTCATCCGTGCATTTCAGCACCAGGAGCGGTTTCTAAAACACAATGAGGTGTTGATTGACACTAACCAGAAATGTGTCTTTTCCTGGATTATTTCTAACAGGTGAGGTTTCCCTGGGTGTTTAGCTACATGTGTGCTTTGGGGTTCTGCACGATGTTAGCTACGGGACAACAGACATGGCCAGTGATATGAAAGTCACTCTGGCCAAACACACCTGCACTGTAAGGAGACAGAGGAGAGCATGAGCTCTGGAGTCAGAAACCAGCTCCCCGTGCCTGCTATGCCGTTTACGTGCGAGGGGCATTGCCTTCGCCTCTCTGGGGGAAACCTCATTTTCTGTGTTTTGACAATGGCTAGAACACAGCCCATCTCGCAGGCTCATGGTGCAAGTCAAATAACACCTGTGAGCACAGTGGAACCCAGGTGCTATGCGGGCGTTGGGGGACCTGGATATTCTCTGGTTCCCTGGCAGTGAATGTGAGATTCTCCACAAGCAGGACAACTCTTTGTGGAGCAGGGAGAGAAGCAGAGGTTGGAGGGACGGGATTTGGGAACATTCAGGGAAAGCCAGTGGTGACATTGGAAAGCTCACATGCTGTGAGGGGAATCCCTGCGGAGGGTGAGCTGAGCGTTCCTCATTTCCCCGGCATCACCAGATCCTGGCAAGAAGTGGTGGCCTGGAGGTACTAGGGGCAGGCTAATTTCTCAGCATCATTTGGAACATGGAGATGGCAAGAATTTGATTGTAAGATATTTGATTTCTTAGGTAATTTTCAAGAAGGAAACAGGCATACGAATCAGTCCTATTGGATGCCCATTGTAAATATGTATCAGATTCATTTGTACAATGCTCAAATTATTGGTGCAAATTTATTTAAATATATTTTGTTTGGGAAAGTCAATTTTTATAAACTATGCCTCCCTATATCCTCTTTGGTTTTCTACAGTTGATTTCCCTGTGATCAAGTCATACCTAACTTCTCCCCACCCCCATCTTCATCTTTGCCTTTTTAAAATCATGAAATCAGACAGGATGCATTGCACTCTGCCAGGCTGCTCATATATGGATTCTCTATGGCACTATTTCCCCACCTAATCAGAAAAAAATCTTTTGGAACATTTGTTTAAATGCAGGTCCCTGAACCTTACCCTAGGCCCCCTGAGTCAGAAACTCTGGCAGAAGAGTTCAAACTGTTTTTTTTTTTGCATGATTTTGTACATTTTTAACAATTGCCCCAGATGAATCTTATGATTTGGGAAGTTTGGGAGATGTTGAACCATAGGGATTCCCTTAGTTTAGCAAATTCCTCTAGTACCTTTAAAGTGCGATTTATTTTCTAAAATCCAACTTGAAGGACATTAGGAACACATGGTAGAGTCAAACAGAAACACCAGCTGGGAACACAGTTCTACCAACTCAAGCCCTCTAAGCCCTCTAGAACGTTCTATAAACACTTCTCCTTTCCACTGCTGGAGCAGGTAAGGAAGTGGGTACCTCCCAGTGACACCTCTCTCTCTGGTTCTGTTGTCCCACAGGTGGCTTGCAGTGCGTCTGGAGCTGGTTGGGAACTTGATTGTCTTCTTTTCATCCTTGATGATGGTTATTTATAAGGATACTCTAAGTGGAGACACTGTGGGCTTTGTTCTGTCCAATGCACTCAATGTGAGTCTGATGATTGGGAGTTTGGTTAAATGAACACACTTATTTTTACATTGTGTCTGGAGTGTGCCATGAGGTCCATGCTCTTGAGTCTTTTCTAGATCCAGAGGCACTAGGGGAAACCAAGGTTCAAACTCTGGCTCCATCTCTTACTGATTTTGTAACCCATGGGCATGCTCCTTACTCTTTCTAAATAGGTACCAGTGTCATCTGGACATAAATGTTGTTGGTCTTGGGAGTTAAGAAAGCAATTTCTCTTTTGTAAAAAATTTTATTTATTTATGTCAAGAGAGGGGAGGAAAGGGAGAAATATCAATCAGTTGCCTCTTGCACACCCCCACCTAAGGACCTGGCCCACAGCTCAAGCATGTGCACTGACTGGGAACCAAACTGACAACCATTAGGTTTGCGGGATAATGCCCAACCCACTGAGCCACAACAGTCAGGGCGAAAAAGCGATTTCATATGAGTCTACCTAATAGTTCCCTGTCTCTTTGCCTCTTTGCTTGATTCTAGTCAAAAGAGATAATATATTAGTTTCTTTTCCATAATATAGCAGTAACCAGAAAGTCTTTTTAACAAATAACTTCTAAGTTTTTTTTTAGATTACAGAATAATTGGAAATAATTCTGATAAAGAACATAGAGTTCAATAAGACTACACTGCATCCTCAGAGGGACAAGGGGCTAAATATTAGACATGATTTCCTAGCACCTAAAACAGTGGCTGGTGCTACAGTAAGTGTTCAATAACTGACACTCATTTAAAATGGGTCCTTTTGTCATCTTGCACAGTATCTTTTTGAACTAATGTACTGCAGGTCTGCACAGCTACCAGCATGCTCTGCATGGTGCTGTGTTCAGTAGAAGTTAATGAGGCCCAAGGCAACCGTGGCAGACACCCGGAAGGATGCTGTTGTTCTCCAGAGTGCCACACAGTTCCCTGTGCCACTGCTCCTTTCTCCACCCATTTCTAGGCTTATTAACTTAGGGGAGATGGGACAAAGAATCAGAGAACTGGTAGAGTGAACCAAAACAAAAGCATCCAATATCAACAATTCTGTGTGGTTCTACCTACACAAAGTGGTTACTCTTAGTCCCCATGGTCCTGAGCTCTCCCCGTTTCTAATCACCATTCACTCAACAAAAACTCCCTGGTTTGAGCCTCTGCCTGAAAGAAGCCTCCCAAGACTCTAGACTACCCTGGATCCAGACAGCCCCCTTACTGGTGGTTAGACGCCTCTTTGTAATGGCAGTAAGTCACCTGGAGTTTACTGGGGGGAAGGAGGACAAGGATCCGCCCTGAGGGCTGGGTTCTCAAAAGAGAGGTTGTTAATAGAGAACAGAGAGAAGAGGCAGCTTTTTGGAAGGTGTTTTCCTACTTTGTGTCTTTTCTTGTTTTCCACATTTGTAGAAGGCCACCCACCACCTTTTCCACAAAGAACACTAGGCTTACAGGCAGGAGAACCAAGCTCTGGTCCCTCTATGCCAACTGCCAGCTGCTCCAACCCCAGCTTTAGCCCCAAGACACCCCACGCTCGTACTGCCTTTCATGTGAGCAACACAGCTGAGCACTTAGTTGTCCTCCAGCCATTCGATGCACTCACTGGTCTCCCTCCTTCAAGGAGGTGAACATTGGTACTTTTGCTTTGCTCCCTCTTCCGCAGAGCTCGGCACAATGCTGAGAACAGAGCAGGCACTGGATTGATTTTGTGGTTTGACGGGTTGCGTTGGTTTCTGAGCCTGAGATGATCTTTAGTCTTCTGGTTTTTCTGTAGATCACACAAACGCTGAACTGGCTAGTGAGGATGACGTCAGAAATTGAGACCAACATTGTGGCTGTTGAGCGAATCAATGAGTACATAAACCTGGAAAATGAGGTAAGATGATATTAGAGGAACCCAGAGAAAAGGCAAAGAAAAAGGTGTGGCTCCTTTGAGAGAGCACTCTCCCCTTGTCCAAAGACTATGCATGGGGGCTATAAAGGTCCCCCTAAAATATTCCCTTGCTATAACTCAAATGACCCAATTTCTTGAAACTTCGAGTAGGACATGGTTTGGGGAAAAGTCACGTCCTGGAATGTACTAAGTTAAATGGTGGCTTCATTCTGGAGATCTTGTGAGATAGGGTTTCTTCAACTGAATAAGGTAGGAACCTCTGGAAGTTCCCATCTAGTTTGGTCTATTAAACGGAGATGCCCACAGGTAGCTGAACCACTGCTACCCACTGCTGCTCTGTGACGTGAGTACCACGGGGACTGTTCAGTGAGTTGACCCTGTATACAGCACTTCTCCTGTCTCCTTGCCAGGCACCCTGGGTGACTGATAAGAGGCCTCCAGCTGGTTGGCCCAGCAAAGGGGAGATTGAGTTTAACAATTACCAAGTACGGTATCGGCCTGAACTGGATCTGGTACTGAAAGGGATCACTTGTGACATCAAGAGCCAGGAGAAGGTAGGTGGAGCTGAAGAAAGGCTGGGATGTGAGTCCTTGTGATGGGAGGACAGTTGGACACAGAGTTGGTGAGCAACTCAACTCTGGGCTTTCCTTATTCTGGTGGAGTGACGGGATCGGAGCACTCCCTCTGCTGGGAAATGTAATAACACAGCACCACCACCAGATGGCAGGATATCCACATGGGATCAAGCGTACTTACTGAGGCTGTAAGGACTTCCTGCTCAGCCTTTCCCTGCCTCCTAGCCCTCGTTCTCCCATAGCTGACCAGGCTCATTTCCAAGAATGTAAAGAGGAAGTCAGGAAGCACATGGCTTGGGGAAAGAACTGGTGAGAACAGCAGTGTGGAGGTTGTCCCCACGGAGAGAATGGCCCAGTTCTTTGGGTTTTGTAAAGTGCACGCCTGTTTGGTGTCCTTGTTCTCTGAGGACTTGGGGTCTGATGTAGGACCCAAAACTGTCTGGGGAAGGATGCTGACGTCCAGGTCAGGGTCTGTTCTCAGCTGGTGGCACGTCTGATCATTCCCTTCTCCTCACTTCTAAACAAGGATTTTTTGTTTTTTTAGTCTATAATTTCTAATAATCATTTTAAAAACAGCTGCTGATGTGTCCATTCCCAACAGTCACTGTAGTTCTCAGCAAGCTTGTTCTGACAGCTGGGCTTCCCCCCCACAACCCCCGACCCCACCAAAACCAAAATCAGTTTAACATCTTAGAGATAAAGTGGCCAATCACTGCCTCTTCTGCCCTGAGCCCCAGGCTGAATTTTCACCCACCAAGGATTACGTGGTGACCTAACCCGCAGAGGACCTCTTTACAGATTGGCGTGGTGGGCAGGACAGGAGCTGGGAAGTCATCCCTGACGAACAGCCTCTTCAGAATCCTAGAGGCTGCAGGTGGCCAGATCCTCATCGATGGGGTCGATATTGCTTCCATTGGGCTCCATGACCTCCGAGAGAAGCTGACCATCATCCCCCAGGTGAGCTCTAGAGCTTACTCTGTCTCACTCAGCAGGGGACAGATGCAGGAAGTGTGTGCACCTTCTTCTTTATATAGATTCCATGAGAAGTTTTATTTCTGCAGCCTACCCCCGGTACCTGAGCTAGTTCCTTCTCTAAGACACACTGTCTCCAGAACTTCCAAAAATAAGGTCTGCGTTTTTTTGGTAACATGCTTGTGTGCCTGCCTGCAGCTAGCCAGTAGGTGGCAGCAACGCAACAGAAGTCAAATAAAGCAGATGATTATTTAGCATTTCTATAGCCCATCGCGGTTTGCAAAACCCTTTGCAATCAGCATTAGCAGTTTTGCCGCTGAAGCTTGAAACCATTAAGCGTAATATTCCTCATTTGACAGGGTTAAAAGATAGGGTAGGGAGTTTGCTGCAGGCTTCTGCCAGCAAGCCAATGCTCAGGGCACCGACAAGAAAGGCTCCCCTTCGGCTTCCTCTCTGGACACCACCAAATAAGGGCTGCCCTGGAGGCTTCTGGGTGGTATGTGGGTCCTCATTAGAACCATCCCTCCTCTGCTCACTACAGCCAAGTCTCTGGGGGTGGTTTTGGTTGCTCTCGTGTTTGCTCAGTTCAATGCACTCCAGCCTCTTCAAAGGCATAATAAATTCTTCTCCTGTGACCGTGCCCGCCTTGATCTCTCCACCTCCACACCATGAATTTTTATTTGGGAGTGTAGGACTTTCAACCCAGCTTTCCCTCCCGGGTTAGTCCTTACTAGCTTTCTCCTGGCTGCAAAGTACTGCTAGTCCCTTTTCTGCCATGAGCCCCAACAGCTCCTCCATCTCTTGACATGCAGGATCCCATCCTGTTCTCTGGAAGCCTGAGGATGAACCTAGACCCTTTCAGCAACTACTCAGATGAGGAGATTTGGAAGGCCCTGGAGCTGGCTCACCTCAAATCCTTTGTGGCTGGCTTGCAGCTTGGTTTGTCCCACGAACTGACAGAGGCCGGTGACAACCTTAGGTAATGTTTCCTAACCCACCTACCCCCACAGGCAGTGAGAGGAGGTGAGGGGAACAACTGCTTGGTTCCTTGTGCTTGATGGCGCCTGGCACTCACCAGGTCTAAGTCCTCCTGTGTGAAGTGGACCTGCTCTGAAGATATGTGAGAACAGATGTGAATGTCGTGCTAACTCCTGAAAACTTCTGTGGTCCATGTGCCCTCATGAGACATTATACAAAGTGAGCGCACCGGTCCCCAGCTGTGGAGGTTTTCCTTTTAGCTGCTCGCTGTAATCAGAGTGAAAACAACCCTGATGCTTGGCCAAACCCCAGAAAGTCTGGTTTCACAGGTGTGAGGTGTAGCCTGGACCTGGGAGTTCCAAAGGATCCAGGGGGTTGCTGTGTGCGTCCCAGCTGGAGCACCACTGGTCTAAAGGGCATGCGGGTGATGGGGATGTGGTGTCCGCAGGGTCCACAGGCACCTGAAACCCCTGAAACCAGCCCAGAGACTCTCAGCTTCACAGTTCATTTTACCTTGTCAAAGACTTTCTATGTATGTTGACACTTCACACTTCTGGCCTTCACTGCCTGCTTAAATGTGAGGTGACTAGTTGACCTGGCATTTCCCTATTCCAATAGGGTTTTTCCCTCCACGGTCCAAAGTTCTGTCCTCAGCCCAAGCCCCCTGCTCAGAGGCAGCTCTCCCTGCAGTCCCAGGCGCCCGAGAGTGGTGAACAGGGCAGGGACCGCTAGCAGGTGGAACACATCGAAGGGAAGCTCAGTAACTCAGTGAGGGGATCGGCAGCTCTGGCTTCACCCATGAACTTGTGATAAATGCAGACTCTCAGGCTCTTGAACAGAATCTGCATTTTAGTAAGATTCCCGGGTGATTTTTGTGTATATCACAGTTTAAGAAGCACTGCCCAGGGTGTTGATTCTTAACTAGGCTGCACACTAGAATCACTCAGGAATCTTTTTAAAAAATCTCAATGCCTAGGCTGCACCCCAGACCAGCTGAATCAGGGACCCAGGTGACCTCAGCGTGCTGCTTTGGGATGGAAGGCCGCCATGTTTGTTTTTCCTCAGAAACAGGTCCAGGAACTGGCAGGACTAAAGTGGGTCTTTAGGCCTATCAAATAGGCTGTTCACATGTTCGGTCAACAAATACACATTGAGCATCTACTATGTGCAGGCACAGGAGATAGAGAGGGAGATGATGCAGGTGCAATCCCTGGCCTCCTTGCTCTTACAGCGCAATGGAGAAGACAGACCTTGAGCGGGTAAATGCCAGGCAGCAACTGCTGCAGACACCGGGGCCACATGGGACCTTCTGTCCGGGCGTGACAGGGGAGCCTTGATACTTCCTGTTTGTAAGAACAAAAAAATCACAGCATCCTTCTCTGTCCATGCAGAGAGACGCTTAAATAGCATTCCCGGTGCCTTGGTTGCAGACCTGGTTTGGCGGTGTTGAAACTTAAATTTCTCTGATGAGTGAGGAGAGATCAGAGATCAGTCAGCTTGGGGAGAGAGAGAGAGAGAGAGGCAGCAGCCGAGAGCCAAACTGGTGCCTCGGCAGCAGCCTGTGACAGAGCTTTGGTGTAAGTCCAGGAAATAGTTTTGCAGTTGCCTCTGTTTTTACAGTACAGAGAAAGACTGGAAGTTCATCTTGGGTGACTTCTCATCTGCAGAAATTTTCTCCCAGAGAATTACAGAACTTTTAGTCTAGCCACCCTCTGCTTAATATGTTCCCTAATGGCCACAGCAGGAAAGAGCAATCGGCTAATTACTGACTATTTCCTCCACATCATTTCCCAAAGCTTCTTTATGTAAGTAAGAGGTCCAGCCTTCATTACTGGCTTTTTGCAAATTAAAGTGATTTGCATTTCACAAGCATATTCAAGTTCCACATACATTGCATCTCACACCAAGACATCGTGTTCATTAGATAGCTACGTCTCTAATCAAGGCAGAAGGGCTTGAACAAATAATTAGCCTGGAGACTAGATTTACACATTAAAATAACAGATGGATTTGCCAAGGCCACTAAGAAATGCCACTGGGGCACTGGGGTGCGGCGTCACCTTATTTTAATGGTGTCAGGTCAGATACTGCTGAAGTGAACTTGGGGCATCCATCTTATTTTAGAATTGCTGTTGATATGCTGGGATATCACTGTAGCCAGATGCAAAGTGCTATTCCTGTGCTAGTGTTTTCCAAACTTGATAACATGAAAACTGCCTGGGGTGCTTATTAAAAATACACATTCCTTGGCTCCTTCCTATTCCGACTGGGTAGTGCGGGCCCCACCAATGTGAATTTGTAAATTAAGTCCTTGGGTCTTCTAATTAGTTTGGTTGGGGAAGTTTGGCAAACATTGCCCAGGCAGCCAGGAACAGCTGGTGGAAGAGGCTGAGGCGTCCTGGGGCAGGGGGCGGGGCGGGGGGCGGTGGTTTGGTTTGAGGAGCACAAATTTGGCCCCTGCCTCCCAGCCCAGGTGGTTCCTTGGACCCTGGGCTGAGGCGTGGTTTCTCCCCTTGCCTGCAGCATAGGGCAGAGGCAGCTGCTGTGCCTGGCCAGGGCTCTGCTTCGGAAATCCAAGATTCTGATCATGGATGAGGCCACTGCTGCCATAGATCTGGAGACAGATCACCTCATCCAGTTGACCATCCAGAAGGAGTTCTCCCACTGCACGACCATCACCATCGCCCACAGGCTGCACACCATCATCGACAGCGACAAGTGAGTGGGGCGGGGCGGGGCTGGATGGCCCGCCTAACCCTCCGGCAGCAGCAACAGCGTCGGCTGGGAGGTGTGTTACCGCAGAAGGGTTACCCACCATCGTTTTCCGGATGAAGAAACAGAGGCTGGGGCGATCTCAAGGCATTTGCCCAAAGTGATTCATCAAGCTCATGAAAGCCAACAGGGTTAGGGAAAAATGCCTTAAGGGAAAAACGGAAAACTGTATCGCTGTAACCACAAGCGAGCACGGGGAGCGGCGGACGCAGGCCACGAGTGGCGGACGCTGACCGCAGACCTCCCCAGCTAAGGGTCTCGGCCGCGACCCCTGCAGCCCGCTTTCTGTTCCTTGGACGGATGACATTGAAAATGGGGCAGAGTCAGTAATCTGAGAAACTGGGCAAAATAGGCTGCCTTAAACACTGTGTATCTTTAGAAAAATGCGTATGTAAATGGAACTGCGTATATTCTGCTACTACTTGATTCTCCAGTTCAACATTCCCTATGGATTTCACCCGTGTGAATGCCGATGGCTGTGGTTCATTCATTTGCCCGGCTCTGTAGCCTTGAACGAATGACTATAACATGACTTAGCGCTGGTTATTCTTACAAATGCCAAGATTTGAGGTGCTGCTTTCTAAGACTTGCATGTCCTTCCTCTTTGTTTCAGGGTAATGGTCCTAGACAACGGGAAGATTGTAGAGTATGGCAGCCCTGAAGAACTCCTGGAAGCACGTGGCCCCTTTTATCTTATGGCCAAAGAAGCTGGCATTGAACATGTGAACAGCACCGCACTGTGACAACAGGTCCCATGGCTCAGAAAGGACTAGAAGGACGAGTCCTTATTTAATTTTTGGGAACTATATCATTCATAAAGAAATGTGTGTAAAATGTGCATTTTAAAGAAGGATCGTAAGTGAACACCCACATGTGCCCGCTACCCAGGGTAAGGAAATGAACATTAGCAACTCCATCGGAACCCCACGGTGGCCCCGCTTCGATCTTACCCCCTTGCTGGCCTGCTGCGCACTCCCAGAGGTAGCCGTTGTGCTGAGTGTCATGACAATTATCTCCTTGCTTTCCATTGTAGTTTTGCCACTTTGTATGTATCTTTAAACAATGTGTACCTTTTTAAAAACTTATGCAAATGGCCTGGCTCATACTGCACACATTCTTCTGTGACTTTCGTTCAATGTGATTTTTGAGCTTTATCCCTGTTGATGCCCACAGTGGGGTCAGTTCATTCTCGCTGCTCTGCAGTATAGCAGAACGTGCATATGCCGCAGCGTATCCATTTTAATGCTGGTCAGCAGTTATTTCTAGGGTTGTGTCTTTTTCTAGGATGAACTATATTGCTATGAACATTCTGATATATAATTCCTGAGATATATGTGCAAGACTTTCTTAGGGTATAATGCAGTTATGGGGGTGTGCACATGTTTACATGCATATACTCAGTAGTGCCAAACTGGCAATGCCAATTTAAAGCACGTTGTCAATCTGATGAGCATGAACTGGTCCTTCAGTGAGGTTTACATTTATATTTACCTGGTTATTATTGAGGTTTCAATACGAGGTTCCTGCTGGTTCTAGTAGCGCTGCTTTATTTCCTTGTATGCCTTGTGAATTTTTACAAGAAGCTGCTCACTCTCCTTAGCATTTTATCTGTGGACATTCTTTGAGGTCAAGTGAACCTGAGCTGTCCTAAGAAGAATCACAAAAGCACCTGCCTGTCACCAGGCAACATTTCCCAGAATATCTTTGAATTTAGTTCTCCTTGAAGGAGTCTCAAACTACAAGTTAGTGTGACTTCAGACCACAATCCTGTGCAAGAGCGAGCTTCTGACCTACAAATTTTCAAGGGTGATGCCTCCCCTTGACCTAGCATCAGGCTGGAGATAGACATGTGGCCCTATTGACCCCTCCTTCATGCACCGTTTATTCCCACCACTCTTAACTTTTTCCAATCACGTCAGCCACCAGGCCCTTTCAGTTTTATTTCTTTACCCCCATCTATTTCTCATCACATCTAACCTGGACTGGCGGCCCAGGAATCCCTACTTCCTGTATTGTCTTCCTCAGATTCATCTGCCCACGGCTATCAGGGATCAGATATGCACAACTCTTCTGCTTGAACCCTTCATTCAATGGCAGTCCAGAGTAAAGTTAAAATTTCTTGGTGTGGTATAATGAAGCTCCCTCACAGCTGATCTGATCTCAAGTCTTCTAACTCCCATAGCTCCAGCAACAGTAAAGTGCTTTAGACTCTCTCTCTCTCTCTCTCTCTCTCTCTCTCTCTCTCACCTTTGGATCTAGCCTTTTGCATATCTATCCCTTCTCCCTGGAATGCCCTGGGTACTTCTAACTCATTCTGACTCAGCTAAGAGGTTCTCCTCTCCTAAGAGCCTTCCCTGATTCTCTTTCCTCTTACACCCCCAAGCTAGTTCCAGTGCTGCCGTGGCTTTTCAATCTTTTGGGCAGCTCAGCATCTGAACCCCAGTTCTATGTTTGGGGACTCCCGCAACTTAAGATTCTTGGTGGGAGACCATGGTGCAGCCGTATGACTAGGTCCCAGCGATCAGATAAGCCAGTGCCAGACTTTGATTCAGATGCCGGTGGCACAAAGAGGCAGGGGAATCTGTCCTGCAAAGGTCTTTGGCAGGCACTGCTATTGTCCAGGGTCGGGGTGTGGTGGATCTAGCTGCAAGGTCCAGCGATAGCGTAGTGTGATGCTGAGCATCATTGCGGGCTTCAAATGCTCACACCTGCTTTCTTACTCTCCAAGAGTCAATGAGCTACCTGCCATTTGCAAAATTCCTTTCTGCCTGGTTTCCCAGAGGTGGGGACTGTTGTTTACAACAAAAAATACTCCCCAGCTAACTTGCTGTTGTTGTATTTATTACTTTGTCAGACATTTCTCCATTAGGGTCTCCCTCACTAAACAGTGAGCCTCTTGAAAATGGGAATAATTTCTTACTCATTTTTTTTTATCTTCGGTGGCTAAAATATAGCAAGTCTACACATATCTTTGTTCAAAAAAATCTTTAAAAAATTGAATGGGAAAAACGAATGTCAAGAATGCAGCAATAGAGTTGAATAAAACAAAGTAACTCCACATTGACACATCGGCACAAACAGGAAAAATAAATGTAGCAATCAGATCTCAATTTTTTGCAGCCTAGTTTTGTATAAGTGCCTTTCGAAATACCCGCTAAAGAAATTTGTTTCATTCAGGTAATAGGATGAGAATACATTTAATGACAAATGCACACCGGTCCTGTCTTTATTTAAAATTAGCAAACAATATTGTACAAACATTGACGCTTAAATCTCTAAACTTTTACAATTTAGATTTAGTTAGCAAAAGTCACATTCGATTGTAAGCATGAATTTAGTCTTCTACATGGATTAGACACTAAACATTTTAAGGCTTCATACTCTTTGAAGACACAAGTAAAAGATTGTAAAATTACATAAAAAATTAGAAGCACTCCATTTTCATAGTGTTCCTGTTTGCTTTATATGCAAGTAATTGGTTATGCTATAGAATTTAACTGTTACAGTGTAAAAAGCAACTATTCAGGGAAGGAGTAAAAAAAAGGAAAATAGAGGAGTATGTGTAAGGCAGTAATTCTTTTAGATAAAATAAGCATAAAAATAAGAGTTATAGGAAGAAATGAAAAATGACTTAAGACTAGTTTGGTTCTTACAGAATTTTAAAAATGGACTAATACACAGAGCTCCTTTCTTCAACTCTAACTATCAAGGCCTTGGTTGCCATATTGATAATCTCTTGGATGGACACCTTGGTACTTAACAAGACAGCCATTTGGCTATTCCGCTCCTGAGCAGCAATGGGAACCACGGGCTTTGCTGCAGCAGAGTCTTTGGAACATTTACCTGCTGCCTGAGCTCATACCTACTTGTCCTGTCTGGGCAACAACTTCGTTGGCATCCACCTGCAGAGATTGTCGAGTTGTCCCCTGGTGGTATCTCTGGACAGGTGCCTGTCCCCATTTGTGGTGCTAACCCCCTTGCCTGCTGGCTTCTCTAATTAGCACCTGTGTGCTGCTACATTATGATCTGGTTTCTTAGGTTTGCATCATAAAGATACCTCCTAGTCCCATAAATATTTGCCTGATACATTTACTATCTAACCAATTACACATTTATTTTTATTTACATGGATCTGTAAACCAATTACACTTTGGCAAGCTCTTGGTTTTCCATAATTAAAAGTTTTCGTTTTTCTGCATAATTGACTTCAGTGTTCATGGTTGATCAGGGTACTTTTGTTTTAGCTGGACCTGGGGCAGGGGTAAGGCTCAAGGCCCAAATCTGTCCTACTGTTTTTGTAAATAAAGGGGGTTTTTTGGAACATGGCCATGCTCACTCGTTCTGTGTTTTCTCTGTGCTGCAACGGTGGAGCGGAGGGGTGATGGCGGACTGAGAGGCCTGCAAAACCTAAACTATGTACTGGCTGGCCTTTTACAGAGAAGGTTTGCTGCTCCCTGCTCCAGAAACACTGGTGGAGTCTGGAGTGGATCATTTCGTTTCCTTTCTCAAAGAGACAACTGGCCTAAAAAGTGTCATGACTCTTATCCTGTGGCAGATAGATAAAATGGTCCCCAAAGATGTCCAGGTCCTAACCCTCAAACCCCTGAAGCTTATTTTACAAGGCAAACAAGAATTTGCAGATGGGATTAAGGATATTGTGATGTGGAGATAACCCAGCTGGGCCCGATACAATCACAAGGGTCCTGATGAGAGTCAGGAGGGTCAGAATTAGAATGAAGACAATGTGATGAGAAACAGAGATTTGAAGGTGCTTTTGCTGGCTTTGAAGGTGGAGGGAGAGGTCACAAGCCAAGGAATACAGGTAGCTTCTAGAAGTTGGAAAAGGAAACAGATTCTCCCCCGGAGCTTCCTGAAGGAACCAGTCCTACTGACACCTTGACTTTTGCCCAGTGAAACAGATTCTGAACTTCTGACCTCCCGAACTCTAAGATAGAAAATTTGTGTTGTTTTAGGCCACAAATTTGTGGTAATTTGTTATAGCACCAACAGGAAACTAATACAATATCATAAGCCCCAAATAGCTCTGCTAGGATTGCTAATATTCTCCCATTGAAGTCAGTATGACAATGAATGATCTTCACTAAATCCCATTATAGTTTGAATTTGTAGAGGATCACACCATCTTTTAAGCCCAACGTGGCTTTCAACACTCCTACCTGTCACTCAGAATTCTATCAAATTGCAAAGGTTCTAGTCAGCTTGGTCATATTTGGAGATCTTTCTTTGATCTCATCTGAGAGGCTGTACGAAGGTCCCTGGTTACAGTGAGTCATGGCGAACCTCTGTACAGTGAGTACATGGATTCCTATGACTGGAGGAGGCTGTGGCAGATCAGGAGTCTCTCATTGTCAGCTTCCCTGATCCTGGACCTGAAGAGTGGCTGCTGTGGGAAAGGCCTGGAGCCAGACCCCGTGGCGCCCCGGGGATGGCCAGGCGTGCTTGTGCGCAGGCAGCTTCACCACACGGTCCTGCTGAGTCAGCTGCTGAGTCCCACCTAGGCCACCTCCTACTTCCAGTCAGTTTTTCTTAAATGAAAGTTACTGAATCCAACCAGTAGGGGGAGTCCTACTGCTTGCCACCTACCAGGCAAATCTCCAAAGATGGAGTTCGGTGGAAAAGAAAGGAATCTTTTATTTAATAGCAAGTTTCTGCCTAAACTATCTGGGTAACAAAAGTAAGGGGAAAGGAGAAGTCAGAGTATGACATCAAAAATAGCTATTTAAATATTTGTTATTACAACTACTACGTGGGTTCGAGTACGGAAAATAACACAGTAACAAAAATCTGTTCACAGCACTATTATCACCAAGGTCTTTGGAAATAACAGCAAGTTTGTGCCTCAAAGCTCATTCCCTCTAACACATTCGAAGAAAAATCACCCTGTCGCCCTCCACCAGCTCAGTTCCAGGTTGCGCCAGGAACCTCTTCTCCCACCCGAGAGCATCATAAACGTAGGTGGCTTAGCTGGTCTCCAGGGGCTGTCCAGCTTCAGGCATCTTTTGTAGTCTGTGCCCGGAGGCCGCCGCTCAGAGGCCCGCACTGGCCACCGGCCACTGGCCACTGTTGGCAGGCCTGCTGGTGACTGTTGATACACCCCTCCGCCAGGGGAGGGGCAAAAACCGACTGGCTTCTTGCTTTCTGGCGCAATCCATTTCAAAAGTCCCCTCCCAGCATCCCACGTACACCGAAGGCCAGTGGGAGGGTCCAGCCTTTCAACCAATGAGGGCCAGTGTCGGCCATGTTTGCCTTTGCCCCTCTTCTGGCCACAGTGGTTAGGAAAGGGGTGAATTCTCCAGCCACACAGGCGCAGCTCAGACCCCTCCCCCATTCCCTGGGGGGTGTGCCCCCCTTACGTGAACACGGTGCTGCTGCCCCGATCAGCATGCTTGCTCCCTCCCACCACCTCACCACCTGAACTGACCTCGGGGGAAGCGCCAAGCCTCTCCGTCCTCCCTGCGGGTCACCTCTGAGTGGTGGTGAGAAAGAGAGCCCTGAGCAGCTTGCTAAGTCTGCAGTTTGTTGTGGAAATCTTCTTTCTTGGTACACACAAAACACTAATACTGATGTTCACAAACAACTGCGAGAGACTTCCATGGGCTCAGTGAATCAACGCAGGGGTTCCGACTGGAGATTACTCTGCTCTGTGGCCCTGAGTGTCTGCCACGCTAGCCAAGACGAAAACAGTAAAAACATCAACACGACATACTAATTGCTGGGAGAATCTAAACCCCTGTGAGCAGTGCCCGGTGACCAAGGACGTGGAATGCTGTATATAAATCCCAAGGTTTCTTGGCCTAAGGTTCTGCAAGTGGAACAATTCAGAGCACAGTGGTGGTCTTCCGGGGCCTGTTTATATTCCCGACCCTGAAACAAAACCCACATAAACAGACAGCTTCACAATTAATTGAAAAAGGATGACTCAAAATTCAATCCTTATTAAAACCATGTACTTCTAGAGCTCATAGTGCACAAAAATTCGCAGACATCATCTTATTTGTCACAATAATCTCAAGAGGCCAGAAATGTACACTTCACAGATGACAATAGATTCCCCCCTCCCCCACCCTGGTCTCCTAGGACTGGGAAGAAAACACAACTGAAGAGCTGCTTCCAGTCAGGAAAGGGGGAAAATTCATCAGCGGAAGTGAGCAGGCAAACCGGATTTGGAAATTTGCTTCATTAACATTTCCTTCTGTTGGGTCTGAAACATCTGGCACCCTTTCCTTCCTTGGTTTTCATAACTCTTACTTTTCTGATAGTAGAAAGCGGTGATGGCCAGAGGGAAGGGGGAGCAGGGCTGGGAGGAGGCGGGCAAAGTGGAGGTGGGGGGGATGGGGACGTCTGAAATAGTGTCAACAATAAAGAAAAAAAATGTACAACACATTTTAATAGCTCTGAGAAGTCCCACAGAAGAGAAATCTATTTGGCTTTCCTCCAATTTTGCAACAGGAAACGCTCTTATTGGGCAAATATATTTTATGAACTCAAAATAAATTGCATAGACAGATGCTTTTCAAGCTGGAATGACACACAAACCACCGGGGCCCTGGCTCAGCAGGTGGGGCCTGCGTCCCAGCAAGCCCCCAGGTCACCGGGATGCTGGTGCTGCTGGGCGGAAGACCACACTTGAAAGGCTGCTGGCGTTTTTAAACAACTCATCTTTTCATTTACCTGCTCCCATCTCAGTGACCTCCTTCTTGCCGGTGAGCCCATCACTTCTTCAATCTCATATTCTTTACAGGGTGCTGCTTGTTTCCTTTCTCAAGCCACCTGCCGCCCAATTAGTTACCTTTTCCCCAACGATTCAAGTTCTTGCCTTTGATCGTCCTCCCTCCAAATCATCTGTTGCCATTTAGCTTCCCTAGAACAGGCAAGCTGCTGAAGAACCTACGGGAGTTTATTGCCAGACTCATTCAGATCGGAATCCCTTCACCTGGCCCCCAAGGCCACCTGATTTATTGTGGACTGTGTAGCAGGGGATGCTCTGGCGCCCTCCATGCGCTAACCTGTTCCGTCTTTACAACTACAGGGGAGGGCGGGGATCACCATCTCCACTTCAGGTGAGGAAGCTGGCTCGCGGGTTAGGTAAGCTGCCGAGGCCACGAAGCTCTTAAGTGACAGAAGTCAGATAGCCTGACCCCAGAATAAGGTGGAAAGACTCAGCTTGAGAGTCTGGGGCCCACGTTTAAATTCAGGATCCATCAGAAACTTGATGTGAGCAAGTCACAATGTTGTTGGATCCCATTTTCCTAATCCATGAATGAAAGAGTTGACCTGTAAGTTTCTTTCCCCCCGAGTCTGCCTATTCAACCATGATTTCTGTCCCTTAACAATATCATGTGACCATTTCAGTCACCCACACGCAATCCCCGCTCTGCCAGTGCTCCTGCTGCATCTCCCCCGCCCATCATGCCCCAGCTACTGCCGAATGGCCTTGGTAACCTCTAGGGCACTAGCTCCCACATCTGTAATATCAGAGAAATACTCACTCCTAGGAATTCCAGCTTAGAGAATTCAGCTCTTCCATTCTGCCAAGGTTTTATATATAAAAAGCCCTTAAAATGAAGGGGCAGTCACCTGTAGCAATGACATCTTTTGAGTATACAGTAATTCCATTGCTATTATATTTTACAAATGAGTTTTTGACTTGAATTTGTTCAGTTAGCCTCTCCCATTTCCTGGAATTTGGGCATCACTTAACTGTCAGGAAGGTGCCCCCGGAAATCCAAGAGGAAGGTTCAGGCTAAATGTGGAGGGAAATCAAGAAAACATACTCATGGCCCTTAGAAATGGTTTTATTTATAAAATAACTACTTCAATAGAAACATCTCTAAAAATAAACACTATTCACAAGAGGCTCGTATTGCTGCCTTCTGACCGACCTGCGGACGCACGGGGACACAGGAGTCCACAGGTGTCACCTGAATCATC